CTTCGCGGAACAGAATCACTGTTTTATACCGTCACCCATGTAACATGTTGATGCTATTTCTATAATCGTCAGAAGACTGTTGTTCATCGAATACGACTATAATGATGGCATGAAACTATTTTTAAAATGTTATTCTTATTAGGGTCCCATGGAGCACAGTGCATTCTCTGTTCGAGTTTTTTTGTGATTGCTGCTGGAATATTGCTACATATCTTTCCCCGCTCGTCCACTCTCCCATTTCTCCGCGTGATTATCAACCCAATTATGCAACTAACGGGATAACATGAATTATTTGGTTAAAAAAACGTCTCTCCTCTCTTCCCACATGTTCCTGCAGGATGGGAGATGAAGAAGACTTTGTCGTTGGAACGTCACGATTCTGTCCATGTCACACACTTCACGGCTCAATCTCCACTTACGTCGCCCCTTGCCTCAGATTTACAGTTCCCCTGTTGGCTGCTTTTAGTGGCCATGTCCTGCCGTCATTTCAGGCCATACACAATACGTCCTGCTCACACGCACGATGGCACTTGTAGCTGATTTACTGCGAACAACTCACTACCCACGTGCACGTGTGTCCGAACTGTTTACAATTTACGGTGAAAATGAGCACAAACCATACACATATTTGCTCAATTCAAGAAACCTATTCACTATTATCAATTTAACTTTAAATGGTGTTGTTTGTTTTGGGCCGCTTGGCATTTTGGGACTCTGGGCCCAACCCCTTATACGTGTGCATGTGGCACTGTGAAAACCAGAACTGAAAAGCGAACAGTAATTTTAAAGGGGTAGTGAATTCATCTTCTTGGTTCTTTCGGTAAAGTCACGTAGAAGGGAAATAATAAAATAATAAAATAAAACATAATAAAATACAATTCTCACGACGTTTATTTTATGATGTTTTCTTTTTACTATTTTATTATTTCCCTTCTACGTGACTTTACCGAAAGAACCAAGAAGATGAATCCCTTGCAGTCACGAAAGCTTTAAATCGGGTAGTGAATTTTAAAAGAAGCCAAAATTAAATCGCGGCCCTGGCTAAGAGCTGGTGGTGAGGTTCAGATAGTACTAGTGGCTGGCTGGATAGTTATGGTTAATGGCAGGTTTAGTCCTATTGGTTATTTGGAGAGTATTTGGCTGCTACAAATTTCCACATGATAAGCCACTTCGTTGAGCTATCCTTTGTGGCTAGGTCGCTTCTGAAGAAATAGCGATGTAGCTCAGTTGACCTTACCTGGTAAAATTAACCATAATTTAGGTCTGTTAGGGTCAGTGGCAGTACTAGCACAAGTGGCTGTTTGGATAGTTTGCTCTGGTTAGTTCCAGGGCTCGTACTTGTGGTTGGTTGGTGAGTTAACGTTAGGGTCAGTGGCAGGGCTAATAGTTTGATAATTTGGGTTAGGGTCAATGGGACGGCTAATACTCGGAGCTAGTTAGGGTTAGGTGTAGGGCTAGCGTTCAATTGGCTACTGTGCTCTGTCAACAAACTACTTGCTGCTCCTCTCCATTAATTTGTAGTCTTTTCAGTACGTACATTGGGATATTTTTCTTCCGTTTGTCTGTGTGCTCAAATCTGCTTGCATAACTGTGAGAAAGTCAGAGGACACGTTCAAGCCTCGATGTGATGTTGGTTTAACAATGTGTGGGGGGAGCAGTAGGGTAGCGGTTAGCGCACTGCGCTACAAACGCGGCCATCCGAGTTCGATTCCCGCTCACAACCAACACTGGTGACCATTATCTGACCTGGTCCTGGACATCACCTAGGTCGACTCAGCCTCAAATGAGCATCTATTTTGGTGTATAAACATCGCTACTAGGGAGACAAAAGCGGTCGGGCGTGGTGTTATCCACACACTCTCTCGTGTGCTGTACCGGCTAGGTGCTCGATAACCACACTTGCCTCAACAGTCTGTTAAGGCTATACGGGGGATATTTGTTTTTGTTTGGAGCTGAAAGGGCAATCGATACTGTATACACGTTGGGTTTATAAGTAAAATGCCCTTCATTCATATATCGATACTCCATTGAAAGAATAGAGAAACGAGAGAAAGCAACATTTTTATCAGTCTCTAAATGTCTCCCACCAGTCTCAGTACACTTATTTAAAATGTTAACACTCTACTGATGCACTTTGTCCAACATAGCCAATGTAATTTGCTTACATGCAATGATGTGTAAGCTGAGGTTATTATAGATAAGGGTGTCAGAAATAAGTGAGGTATCTATAGATGGATTGCCCTGTGTGTGTATATATGGCTGTCATGTCTGCATTGTCAAATAAAAAATGCTGTGGCCTTCAAGTCATTTTTATTCTGTTATAAACATACGAGGCAGAGAGCCAGTCCAGCAGGAAAATAGAGAATGATTCACAACCACTTTAACCAGACATTTGTCACTTTACGCAACCACAATTCTGCAATAACACTGATGTGTTGTGATGGCATGAAGTGCTATATTTTCCCTGTGCCACGCACATGTTTTCTTGAATTCTTGGTGTTACGAATGTACTTTTGTTTCATGAACATATATTGTTTCTCTCGATTTCAATGGACTTTTATGTCACACTTCTTCATGAGACGGATGACCTATTTAAAAAAAAACTAGGTGATTTCCCCATTGAACGGTATTTTTAAATGGGTCGTAAAAAGTACATCATAACAAAGGTGATACAAGAACGATCAGATTTAAAAGGGCAAAAAAAACTTGAAATACCTGATTCAGATACGTTTCTCAGTGAGGTATGGAGACGCATGAGTGGTCGTGTAATGGGAATGTGCTGCAATACAAAAAAACACCTTCCAAACAAAAACATAAAACAGGCTGACAAAACAGAGAGAGGCTCAACCTAATCAGCCATGCAACAATTGAAGACATTTGTTTTCATTCAATATTTAAACCGAGGGAGTAACACATACTAATGCCCTTTATTCTCACAAGACGATGTTTCACGGGCGTCCTCCATTGGGATGTTTGGCCAAATTCCATTTATGAATGTTTGCTATGTGGGGAGATGTATATATGTTGAACTTCTTTCGCACCGTACGTAACCAACCGTGCTAATCAGACGTGCTAAGGAAAGACAGCAAACTAAACACAAGACCCATGAGGAGGTATGAGAGCACCCACCATACTTTATCCCACGACACACGACTATGAACTGCAAGTCCAGTATGCTACCCATTACACCACTGCAGTTTGAATACCCAATATTAACAATGCGAGAGCAATGTCTGTAATACATAAACATAATAAAGCTACTGGCCATTTGTATTATTTAATCCCGCCAAGAGGTGCGGGTGCTTTAATTAGTTCGAATCGCTGTCGGAATTGTTGCCAGTTCAAATACTTATACAGGTAGGCGATTCAGCTCGACGTATCATTCACCCAGGGTGGATAAAACAGGTACCATTGTGGGAAGTTAAGATTGCCGAAGAAATGGACTCAACTCTCACCAACCCCCCCTACCCACGCACGAGAACGCGGAATCTCCATAATTGGCTCAGAAAAGTAAACATGAGCAGTGAACACTTTTTACCTGTATTTTAATCGTACTAAAACATCCAAATAACACTTTATCGTCATCATCAGCAGCAGCAACATAAGTCATGATCAATCAACTACTGCACGAAATGTCTCTCTCCACGCCGTGTCAATCGTGGGAAGTTCAAACCTTCCAACCCAGCTTATATACATGCTCCAAGCGCGTGTGCTGTTTCATTCAGACGCTGTCGCCTCGACAGACCTGGTTTTCACCTGAGGACGGCTACTTGCGTTGTGGCCGAAACGTCGTGAGAATAATTTTATTATGTTTTATTTTTATTATTTTATTACTTCCCTGCTACGTGACTTTACCGAAAGAACCAAGAAGTTCTAACCTGTCAAGCCCTTGTCAGTGCCCACCTTATTACAGACCAATTCTGACCTCATTGGTCACTCCGTGCCCTTGTATCCTACAAAGTCCCATCACAAGGTAGAAACACAGACCAAACAAATGTGCCCGTATTAACACGGATGTATGCCGTATGGACCTGAAAACTTTATTTCCCTGGACAAGAATACGGAGTAAACGGTGTGGTATAAGAATAGGGTTTACCCTTTCTGGCAATAAAACAGGTGTTAAGATGTTAAAACACCAAACTGAAACAATTTGCAAGGAATCATAATATCAGAGCATGTTTTTTTGTTTGCATGTTCACCACAAGTATATATGTGGCTAATGCAGACATGATTCCTTGAAAAAGGTTTTTCACTTTGGCGTTTTAACATCTTAACACAACTGTTTTATTGCCAGAAAGGGTATTCTTATATTTTAAGCTTTCGTGACTGCAGGAATCCATACTCTTTGGTTCTTTCGGTAAAGTCACGTAGGTAGAAAAACTAAATAAAACAAATCACGACGTTTCGATCGCAACAAAAGCAATCTTCATCAGGTGGAACAACCACAGCAAGAAAACTGCTGAAGTAGACGAAGAGAGCTGCCGTGACGATGGTGAATGGGAAAGGGGGAAAAAATACTACAGCAGCAGCAGCATAAGCCATCATCAATCCACTGCTGCACGAAATGTCTCTCTCCACGCCTGCTCGGTTGGTGGGAAGTTCTATTGACCCACGCTTCAGCGCACGCTGGCCAGTGCGGGTTGGTGATGATGCGGGGAGACATCATAATAATTTCTGACCATACTTCACCACGCCGGTCGATGCGGCGTGGTGAATGGGGAACTAAAAACAAAGGACAGCGGTGACGACGACGACTTTAGAGACAGCTCCGCTCGGCACAAACAGCGGTCTAGCGAACCCCTCCACCCTCTCAACAAAAACACAGATGGGGATACGTCATAGGGGTAGGGGGTGGGGCCTCGGTTACGCCCCTCCCTCTATTTATTTATCACAATAAGAAACGCCTCGGGGGCAGCAAGGGAGCGCATGCGCGCGCGCGCCTTCGTGGCGCCGCGTGCCCCAGGGGCGACTCGCGCTTCGACTTCCGTGCCGGCACTCGCCGCGGTCTCGCGCCTGTGGCAGTAACAGCAGAAGCAGCAGCGGCGGCGGCGGCGTTGGTCGCGTTCACACCGCGGGTTCGTATCGGGGTCGTGTTGCGCGTTCTGTATTTGCTCGGGGTCGCGTTGTCGGTATTGCTTCGATTGGCGTTGACGGCGGCTGCGTTTGGCGCGGCTCTCGCTTTGGAGAAGGCGGAGGAGAGAGCGAGAGAGAGCTGCAAGTGAGCGACACGCAGCCCGCGTGGACGAGCGATGGCTTGATGATGGGCGGTGGGCAGTGGGACGTCTCCTTTGACAGGAGGATTTAGACGATAGCCCGGCATGCTTCTCAGGAGGAGGAGTTGGTGATGGTGGTGGTGGTGATTTGTGGAGATTCGGGCAGGTTGCGCAACGAATCCGGCGAACAGAGTTCGATTTTTCACTCATCAGTGGCGAATGTCTGAACAGATCGTGGGCCTACCCGAGGTAGACTCGGCCTTAAACCTTTGAAGCAGTGGGGAGACAAAGGCGGCCGAGGCGTTGTTCTGACTACACCCGCTTCAGTGCTCCTTGCTGGCGTTCATCATCGCGAAGGGCACTCGTCCCACCAACCTGTCAAGGCTGTCTGGCGAATCTTGTGGTGGAGATGGTGACGGTGGTGGTGGTGTTGTGGGATAACTGTGTGGGATCTCTTATAAAGTTGGGGATACCCCCGGAGTTGGGGAGTCCTAGCATAGGTATCGACTTTGGGAGAGAGACACGTCCGTGGAATAAAATACAGAGACGCGCAGAGAGATTGACGGCAGGCAGAGATCCAGACAAACCCATCGAGATTGAAGTCACAAAGATGGACAACAGACACTCGAAGAGACGCATGCAACTTCATATAACGACACACACCTTCATATAACGACGACACACACACACATACATTCAGAGACACAAAGAGAGAAAGAGAAACGGCGAGACACGGATAATCTTGTCGGACTCTAATTAAGCGTGAATGCACATGTACACCTGGCACTCATGGTGATGATAATAGCCATATTTTGTCATTTACACGGCTTGGCGTGGCTTTTAATGAAGCCATCAAACACGCAAATGCTTTAATTCACTTCCCCCTAAAGGCTACATGCAGCAATTTCCTAGACCTCGGATGTGCACGGTTTGCTACGTATGCTGCGAAGTTCTCGTATAACGTATTGATACGACATTTGTGATTACCCCGTTCGATTGCAAGTTAATCATAGTCGGGAAAACACCGACGGATCAAAACAGTGGAGCTGAGATGCTTGTGGAGTTTGCAAACTCCTGTTATCGAATTTAGAATGTCGAGAGATTCTTCTGTTTGTGGCGCGTAGAGATCGGATGTCTTCCTGATGATTTGGCACAAGTTGGATTGAGCTTGGATTATTCTTGGATGGGTGACCACCATCCATGAACGAGGCTACTGTGTTCTACGTTGTGAACAACAGAGGCCGTGCAGCATAATCCATTGTTGTATTGCACTTCTACGCTCCCATGTGGTTGCGTCCTATATCCACCAAACCGGACTGACCAACGTATGGTAAAATCATCCCCACTTGTATTTTGTTCATATGCCAATGTGTCTTCATGTGTATCATCTGTGTGTGTTTATATATGGTGGAGCAGTGGTTAGGGTGCTGCGCTACAGACCAAGCTTCCAGAGTGCAATGCCAGCTCATGGCCAACACTACAGTGACAATTATCTGAACCGGTCATGGGCCTTGACTCGGCCTCAAATTATTACCTGATGCGATGTGTAAACATTTCCACTACAGAGACAAAGGCCGTCGGGCAGAGTGCTGGCGACCCACCACCTTCATAGGTGCTCGCAAACAGTACTTACCCTAAAAGTCTTGTTAATGCTATACGGGGGATATTTGGCTTTGTATATGCCAGCGTGAGTGTTTATATCTCATTGTGTATGCACATATATAGCTTTGTGTTTTAATATTTATGAGTAATATCTGTGAGTATTCCTAGTCTGTATTTTTATGCATTCATATTCCAGTGTGTATTCATGCACCAGCTCATGCATGTGGTTTCGTCACACACACTGTCACACAAAGGAGATGACGAGAAACGTGTTTGCGTTTCCTGAACACGAGTATTGTGTGGAATGCTTTGTGGTCACAAGCATGCATTATTGGCTGTGCTTGAGTGTATTTATGCATGTTCATAGATTCTGCATAATTGTGTCCTGGTATTGTGCCTGCACGCATGACCTGTGAGGTGTAATTCCATGCAGTGCATTGCTGTGTAGGTGGCTGTGTGTATGGCCAGTGCCTAGTCTATTCACCCGAACGGGCACATCCACATTTCTTTTGAGTTATTTTTAGCTGCCCCTTGTGCTGTAAAGGACAGACGATTTAAATTCTGCACAAGCATCGCGGTTTTATCTGGCCTAATCTGAAGTGCTAATGAATAACCCGTTTTGTAAACCTTTAATTGCAGTAATGCAGCATTGATGGTTGTCAGTTTTCAAAAACACGACCAAAAGTTTCCTTGATCCACGATTGTGGCTCTGTGATTCTCAAGTTGGCCTTCGCCATAGGAATGTGAAGTATGCACCACTGGATCAGGGCTGGAAACAGCTGTTTTCTGACTTTTTTAATTCTTAGGTGCACTGTTGAGGTCTTACAGCTATAAAACCTACCATTTAAAATATAATAAGCAATGTTAATGGCACAGTTAACTGTTGCCCTTTGCACTCAGCTTAACTCGCTAACTTTACATATGTAGACGGAAGTACACTGCGTTCAATGTAGAGGTACAAGCAAAACTATCTTAAAATCAACGATCACACAAAGGTGTTTCAACAATGTAAATGTGCAGGGGTAGTGGTGGTGCAGTGGTTAGCTCGCTGTATTATGAACCAAACAACTGGAATCCATTCCCAGCTACTACTTGCAATGACAAGTCGTATCTAAACTGGTTGAGTGGTTTTTAAGCTGGTTTTGGGTTCCCCCCTCCCTCACTTCACTAACCGGTATTGTTATTGTACAGGTCTCGTGCTCTTAACACCACCTACACCAACGTCCAGAAACGTTTTCCAAGTGTGTATTAAACCTCTGCATGTTCAGTGGCTAAATGTGTGTGTGGTTCTTCCCCCTGCAGTACAGAATCATGGCTGGACCTCGCCCCGTGGTACTGAGCGGACCCTCAGGCTGTGGGAAGAGCACCCTCATCAAGAAGCTCATGTCCGAGTTTGAGGGCGTGTTTGGCCTCAGTGTGTCACGTAAGGACATTACAATACACCGCTCAGCTAAGGTTGACGCATGCCAGCTCACTCTTCCATGTGATGGCAGCCAGCATCACTTTGGATTGTGGATGATAGTGACAAGTGACATGTTCAGCCACTGCCGAGTACATTTGTAAGGGCACTGAGGACAGAATAAATGTTTGTTCTGTGGACTGTCGTCGTGATTTGAAAACTTATGTCAACAATGCCTTCTCTCTTCAGACACTACAAGGAAGCCAAGGCCTGGAGAAGTAACTGGGAAAGGTAATTGTGGACTGAAAACAGAAATAATGTTTACAGCCAGGAAAAACAGCTTACTGCAACAGTCATGCATAAAATGAAATATAAAAATGTGTGACTTGTTACAGAGAAAAACAACGTGATTGTGTTTTCCACCAACTGGGTATATGAGCATCAAACATCATTGTCAAGCATACAATAAGTTGTCTATCTGTGTGAGAGTCAATATTTCAAATAATTAGCCTGGATGTTTGTGCAGATTACCACTTTGTGACCCGTGAAGAGATGCTACGTCTCATTGCCGCGGGGGAGTTCATCGAGCACGCTGAGTACTCGGGAAACCTCTACGGCACCAGGTCACCTTGTCTTTTTAGTTAATTGTATTATACTGCGCTTGTCTTAATGTGACCTTCAAGTGACCTTTGTTGTGCTCGTAATTTTTAAAGATCATGTCATCACAACATATTGCAGCACACCCAGGACCAAGCAGTGTTCCCTTGCCACCGAAAGGCTAATTGTTTCCTGTGTATTGAGCACACAAGGGCTTCATAAAAATGCTGTATTGAAAAAGGTTATTTGTTTTGTGGTATGAGCATTACATTTGTGTGCCACAAAAATGTGAAATATGCATCCTTCGTGAATGCGAAGAGGCACACTCTACTTCAGGGGTGCACAACTTCCAGCCTGTGGAGCCAACATGCGGCGTGGTTTTGACTGGTCCGTAAGCACTCGTGATATTGTGAATGCTCACTGGACAATGCTCTTGTTGGCAAACGTAACGTCACTCGATAATGGGGCGTGACGTTCACTAGGTTTCAATGTAACACTCTTTACCCATGGGTAGTCGAGAGATTCCCTTTGTGGCCCATGCCTTAATATTACTATGGACCCTTGGTCTAGTTAATCATTGTTATCAGTTAATGGCTTGTATAAAGCAGCATGTGAAATTACGTGAATGTAAAATATTTCTGCAATCTCGTCGTGTAGTAAATCTGCAGTGAGGGCAGTACTGGACAAGAACCAGATTTGCATCCTGGACATAGACATGCAAGGAGTGCACAGCATGAAGAAGACTGACCTCAATCCCCTCTACATCTCCATCCAGCCACCATCCATCACCATCCTGGTACGTGCATTGCCCGTGCCACTGGGCCGTATGCTGTACAAGAATCGAAAATTATGGCTTAAAGCATGAAGGCATTGTGACCCCATGTTAAACATGCTTATGTTTAACATGGGGTCACAATGACTCTGGTAACTATCCAATATTAATTATAAAATATGAAGTTGTGTATTTGGCACTTACTCTACAGACAATCAGCCAAACTAATCAAAAGATTGCCAAAACTTTGATAACAAAACAACTTTAATTGAGCAGATAAGCCTTTTCAGCTCGAGTAATGAATTGACACCATGCGCGCACCTTGCCTCCCCACGACCCCATTACGTGTGATGTCATTTCGCCATGCGGCTCGGAAGGTAATTACACTATATGAAGGCATGCCTTTTTGAATCTGCGTATGTATGACTTTTCGTCCACGTTATAATTTATCTTCACGAGGCTCAAATCGTTAAATCCGGTAAAACTTGCTGTGTGCCGACTTTGCAGGAGGAGCGACTGCGTCTCCGGAAGACTGAGAATGACGACAGCCTCAAGAGAAGGCTGAAGGCGGCCAAGAAAGAGATCGAATTCAGTCAGTGCCCATTCCCGTCCATGACTATTGATCGCCGTACCTTGAGCTGAGCTTCAGGGGCATTTTGTGTTGACATTCCTACTCACGGAGCAATGCAAGCTGCATTCCTTTCCACACCCCCTATGTATGTAGACTGAATCGATTTTGAATCAATCCATCTCTTGTGTAATAATTCCTGGAAAGTGATTCTTGTGTCTTGACTGTATTTTCATCACTAGCTTTTTTTTGTTACCACTAGCCAACCTTGCAAGTCGGCTTGTTTCCACTTGGTTTGTTGATTTTTCACATGCCACATGTTTACTTTGCTCTGCACAGGATGCATGCATATCCTCAACTGATTTTCTTTTCAGGTAAGGAGCCAGGAGCCTTTGATGCAATCGTAGTGAATGATGAACTACAAGAGGCTTATGCACAACTTAAGGAACTTGTCAAAAAGGTATTCCTCTCATTTTAAACTTGTTATCCGTAACCAGTGAGATGTGGTTGCATTACTAGCTGGTTACCAGAAGATGTTGTTACTCTTTGTGGCAATGAAAGGTGGTGAAGGTACAGCCTTGTAATTACTCGCACCACTGACAGAAAAGTTCCACCTGCAGGGTATTTGGTCTACTCTTCCACACTGGCCACACTTTGTCCAACCACACGCAAACTTGCCGACATACTGACATTCCCAATTTATACTGTTGGGAGATATAATCGAACAGGCAATCTCTGCATTGCAAGTCCATTGCGCTAACCATCACACCACGGTAGCATCGCAATGTGGCTCTGAACGCTGATTAATTTTCTGTTCCCACCCCCGTCCCCTGCAGGAGATCGCAAAGGTGCAGAATGCCCATGACTAGAGGCGCACAGGGCGTGAAGAGGATGAGTGCACTTGCTGGGTCGGCGTGAAGCCTTAGGGAAAGTAACGTACTTACGTTACTGCATTGGCTTCATGGCTGCCATCGTGTGCCCCCTCTCGCTTGTTACAGTCATATCATGTAGTCTTCAATGTTTTATTGAGAGCCTTTGAATCTGTATATAGGAGAAGCTGAATATATTAGACCATTATTTAGGAGCAATGCCAGCTGTGCTCATATTCGAAGTCGTGCTTGTATCAGAAGTCACCCTTTGCCTCCCATCACCAGTTGAATGTAAGCATGTGTTTCTTTTAAGGTGTGATTTATATCCAGCTTCTACTGTATTTCAATTAGGGCCCATTTCTCTGCATGTAATAATCTCCCTTGCATTCCTGCACTTGGTATAGCTATTTAGTTGTTTTGCACACCACGTAAAAAAGTAAAAGGTTTACATTTTGAAGTATAAAAGAATAAGCTGTTATAAGTTAGATGACAGCTGGGTTATTTCAATTAGCTTGAATAATCTCATGGGTAGGTGCTATAGTTAAACCTGCTGCTGTTACGATTTATTTTCCTGCATTGGTGAAATTGAACCTCATCGTTTGTTTAAAAAATCCATATCAAAAGCACAGCGATTTCAAGATCACATTTTCCCACGGCTAACAGTTCTGATAGGTGTAGAGTACTTCTCATATTCCCACTGCTTGCACATCGCTATGTTTTACAGCCAGCCGAAGCAGTTTGATAAAACATTTTAGTCGATGCAGTGACAAACATCCAGCAGTTGAACCAGTGGGGTTATGGATGTCGTGCGCTTATTTTCTTTGTGTTAGTTTCGTAATTTTTCACAATTTTATGCCAATTCTCTCCGCATCGCATCACGATACAAAGTGTCCACTATCCAAATCGCATCACGAAGTGAAGTGTCTCAGCATCGTCGTGCTCTGATTGAAAGTGCAGTGTATCATGAACTGCACTGATCCACGGAATATAATGTTACCTCTACTTGTCGAAGTTTAGATATATACAGCACACACACACACACACACATTACAGGTACCCCTCTATTTACGAAAGGGATGCGCTCAAGAAACACGCGCAAAACGAAATTCCGTAAATCGGAATGGCTTTTCCCATTCAATACTAAAACTTTGGGATGTGTTTCCGACAGTCATTCCAACTTACTCATAACCTAAACATATACACATATCACTTTTCACAATACAACAATGGTAACATACATATTAAAACGATTAATACATTTTAAGCAAAAATAATTAACCTTTTCAGGGAACTCTCTAAAAGAATGAATGACTAAAAAGGTGATGTGGCAGCATTGCTGTTGCACTGTAGGTATCACGTGACGCTGCCGTGGATGGATGACGCAGCTCCCGGGTGGTTTTTGTTTGATCTCAGTGGCGCGTGCCGAATGAATTTTTATTAATTTCATGGAAACTCGATTTCGTGAATCAAAAAGTGACACAATTTCGTAAATCCAACGTTTGTAAATCGAGGGATACCTGTAGCACAAGGGATGTATTGTCAGAATGGGAACATGGGAATAGGAATGCTCAACGTAGAATCCTTCAGTTTTTCTCTCCGAGTTGGACTCGCCGCGTGTTACATAATCACGTGTGCGCGTGTAAGTGTTATACGTTAAAGGCTGGATCGTAATGTATCCGAGTGCATAGCCTTACATTCCTTAGCTTGATTGATCTGTATTTTGCTTGTTTGCTCCCCGTGCATCCATGCTGATTGCATTGTCACAAAGGGAACAGTGGGCCAGCAGTAAGTCTTCAACTGCCATTGCAATTGTGATGCAGATGAGGCTAAATGATCATCTACATGTTGATTTTTCACTTTTTAATGTTTTTTTTAAAGTACAAATTGGATGGCATATTTTTTTTGTATTAACCTTTGTGGGTAATACAAGAGCATTTTTTCTGGGTTGTTTTTAAGTTGGTACTGTTTCTGGATTTATTTTGTAATACAGATGCCCGTTAATGTGCCTTTGTCTCACTGGTTACTTATGCACAGAAACTTTGTTTTTGAGTCTGTACAACATATCTGTATCAACAATGGGAAAGGCATTTTAAGTAACATAAAAAATCCCTTGTTTTTCTAACTCGTGAGTCTTGAACTTTTCTTCTCAGAAGTGACCTGTGCATGGATATTAGATGTATATCTTTATATGCTGCACAGACAGCGTTGCAACTTGGTGACTGGAATTAAAGTGGCATTTAATTTATGGCGAGCTTAAATAATTAGTCGTTCATACGTGCATTTTTCTTGACCGTATCTTGTCAATGCTCTGCAAGATGAAGCCATCTCCATGCTGGAGGATTGTTTGACCATACTTTACCATTATTATCAGTACTGCTTACAGGTTGGAGAAGGTGGAGGGGCACCCAGGACTGGTTCAGATATCACCACTCAAGCCATGGCCAATAAAACACAGGTCGCTGGGTTCATAAGGCAGTGCAGTGCACTATTCACTGCACTCCACTCCGTTTATACATGTTCTCAATCTAGTATGCAGCAGCTACAGGTAATATTTAACATGTGCAACCGTGCACTGATAGGATTTAATCATCACTCAGACAAAACAAATGATGAGTGAGTCTGCCTCTTTCGTAAGCTGCTCTCGAACAAAGACTTTTGAGGGGAATGGTAAATGAAAGGCCAATTTGGCAGCAGCAAATAGCAACCAGCTTTTCAGGCAACCTCAATTGTTCATGGAGCCCGCCCCCTCTCAATAGACTTTGAAGCAGCTGTGAAAGAAAAGGTCATGATGCACGAGATAAATAGACAAGCGTTACACGCCATTCTCAACGTGACTGCCGCTCCGTGCAAAGGTTTGCAGGCAGTGCAAATACACCGGAGCCTACGGGCGGGAGGGCCCAGGTGCCAGGTTATGCAGGGGGGTGGAGGGCATTGGACTGGGGTCTTTATTTCATCCCTTGCATCATAGGGTCCACACCTCTTTCGCCAGGTGTGACGCAGTCTGAAATGCCACCCAGACAGCGACGCAGCTCGTCATCCTGCCACAGCCATCTCGGTAGTGCTGTGGTCGAAGCCCTTGGCTTGTTAATTCGGAAGGTTAGGATTTTCATATTCCATGTTGGACCTCAACCCAGCCCATGAACCAAATAAACTCCCAGTTCGTCATGAATATGTTTTGTTATTATATGGCGAGGCTGGCCTCTGCCACATGAATGTAGAATTCCCATACTGGCTTTGGGCTGCTATCGGAGATGAGTGATGCCTCGTTGCTCGTTTGCGTTCCTGACCTTTCATGATGAACCCGTCACGAGCGAAATATAATGCTTGTTCCCTTTTGCTTCCAACATAATTAAAACACGTATTTATTTTATATGCTTTTTTTACTAATTTTATTCATATTGCTTTAAAACAGCAGCACGTTAATTTTTTTATATTACACAAGTTATACAAAGGTTATTCCAAAACCCTCGTCTCCCGAGACATGACGGTAACTTTAGTTCTTCAGCAAATTATCGCTTTTCTTGGAAATAACAAGCGTCACGCACGTTCATTAAAACACGCTAATTATACACAGCCTTCATCTTGTGGCACCACGCTTGGCCAGGGCTGGATTTAACCATCTTTGCCTCTGGGACGCTCGAGCAGAATAGACCGCCCCCGCTCCTCCACGTACAGACACAATATCGCCAAAAATACCACCTTAATGAAGGCAATATTGTTTATATCCTTCATTTGAAAACAATACTATGAATAAACAGTCCTTTTTTTGTTCATAGAAAATTGTAACGAGATATGTTCGTGGGCCCCTCTGGAGTTTTGGGCCCTGGATAAATCTCCACCCCACCCCCTTCCCAAATCTGGCCCTGCCCTTAGCAATCTACGGTGGGCGGCTGAACATTCACCTCTGCGCTACAAGCACGTCTCTGTATTTAACCAGCACCGCCCATAGCCGGCATGTGTCCCAGTGGAAGAGAAACCCCCCACCCATCGTGGGAGACGCGGAAACGGTGATGCCCGCCAGGCCACGGCTGTCTCTTTAAATCAGGGGCGGGGAACCTTTTTTTCTGCCAAGGGTCATTTGAATATTTATAACATTATTCGCGGGCCATACAAAATTATCAACTTAAAAATTAGCCCGTTATATTTGGTCAAACATTTAATTCACTCACCCTTAATGTGATGGCTGGAACTGCTTCTCTTTGGCGAGGCGTGTGATGTTAGCTGGTATTGATGATGTTGCTACTCGCAACTGCTTTTCCAGGTTTGCTCCGAGATTTATTGAAATTCGAGTCCCGCCTGCGGTTGCCTTGGCAGGGCCACACCAAATGATTTCGCGGGCCTCATACGGCCCGCGGGCCGGACGTTCCCCACCCCTGCTTTAAATGAACACGTAACACCCCACCGCCCATCCAGCACGCCGATCACACAATTCCCGTAGTAGTAGGAGTATGAACACAGCAATTACTGCTTTAGACTAAACTTTAAAATGTACTTCATGACACCCATGTACACACTTCAAATGTGTAATAATTTCAGGCCATGCCATGTCAGTTATGGATGTTGTTTGACCATACTTCACTACGCTGGTCAGTGCCGGTGCTGGTTGGTGCAAGGTTGAGATGGTGGGGGAGGGGGGGGCAGGCAGGATCTGTACAGATATATCTCGCAACCCATGTCGATCATGGCCGGGGATTGAACTTAGGTTGCCGAGTTTATAGCATGGTGCGCAAACCGCTTTGCCACCGCTCCACCCAGATGTGTAAAGGATCAGTAACAAAAACCCCTTAAAAGGCACATGTTGCGGGCTAAGCACGCAGCGCGTGCGTTCATGGCTCTCTCTGCACAACGCGGGGATTAGCGGGTGATGTGGGTGGAGGAGAAAATGTGAATCATTGTTGTTGGCGGGTCGAGGGTGTATGAATACCCATGTAAAAATGTGGCATCATGCCCCTCTGCTATTATTCCTGAGAATTGAGGGGAGCAGTAGCCTTGTCCAAAGATTCCTGTTCGTTGCAGGGGAGCTAACCAGACGTGGCTATGTTTTTTGACAGCCTCGTGGAAGCTGCAGTGTTTTGGCAGCTGGCTGTGTGACAAAAAATATCGCCCGGCGTAATCTCCATCGTGGGGCAGTGAGAGCGTCGGCAGAGCGAGCGGGGCAGTCGGCACTTTCCAGGAGTTGCTCCCGCTCCAAAAAATCCCCCCTGGGTGGACTAACAGCTCAGGGCATGTAATGGTGCGCCGATTCATCGGTTAAAACCGACGTTTACGCTCGCGATGCACCTCGAGTCGTGCGCGTGAGAATTACATCACGGTTTGTAAAAGCCGTATGCAAATGATATGCGAATGGTACATTCAAGCTAAATGTGCGAACGGAACTGTTACGAATGAGACGGGGGGGGGGGGGGGGAAATATATATAGTAAAAACTAGATACAAAAACTTGTCAAGACAATTGAATTAGCATGGGGGGGGGGGGGGGATGGGTGGGGGGGGATGGGGGGGTTGGTGAATCGTTGTGGGCCATCCATTGAATAGGTACGCAAAAATCTGCCAAAACTTGACCCCTCGCCCCTTCGCTGTACGCACGCGGACTTTTTACACACCCCCCCCCCACCTGCTTACGTACGCTTAACACCCCCCCCCCCACCCGAATCCTATAGAACGGCCGATATTTAATCCACGCAGAAACGATCAAGGATTAATAATATTAACGTGTTTAAGCAAACAGATAGTCCACCGCCGGACTATCTAACTCATTTGAAGGCCAATGTAGACAAATTATTATCGAGGCTTCACCCCCCCCCCCCCGTTTCGTATGCGTACGCACATTGTGAGTAGACCCCCCCTACGCAAGCGTACGCATTTGGGTTAACCCCCCTCCATGCGTACGTACTGAATGGATGGCCCCTTACTTGACTGCTATTCACGACAGTATGCGGTTTGTGCTGCAGGGCTGATGCTGAAAGGAGGTCCCCCCTCTACGGGCGGCCCCACATTAAGGCGCGCTTTGGGGCACGGTGCGGGGAGGGGGGGGGGTGTCACTGCGAGGGCAAAGGGGGCGATCCCTGCCGATCAAGCTCCCCAGCGGCGCTGCACAGCTCCCCCACAACCACACCGTGCAACCCGTGCCACGCAGAGTTCCTTCATCCAGCACTCGAGTCGAGACTCCAGAGGTCCTGGTTAAGGCTTTAGAATTGTTGGGCTAGACTCTAGCGGTCTTCGTCTATGTTCTAGAGGTACTGGTCTATGATCTGTAAGTCTTGGTCGAGGCACTAGAGATCCCAGTCTCTGCTCTAGAGGTCATAGACTCTCGAGATCCTGGTCCAGATTCTGGATGTCCTGGTTTATGGCATTAGAGATCCTGCTATAGACTCTGGAGATCCCTAGACGTGCCCTACAGGTCCTGGTCTTGGTTCTGTAGCTCCTTCCTGTGGCCCTGAGCCGCCGTGGGCCCCACATTCTGCCGCGTGGCGACACGTCGCCGCCGCTCCTCCTCCGCACGAATGAAGGTGCGGAGCGCCCGGGACGGGAAGAGCAACGAGGAGCGACGCGAGCGACTCACGGGGTCATCCTGCAGCCACGGCGCTGCCAGGCACTCGGGCGAGGTGGGGCGGCTCCTGCAACACAGCGACAATGCACCGTTGTACACACGCTGCACTCTTGTCGGCCCAGAGCTCGACGGGGGACTCTCTGCGGCGTGCCGGGTCGTGGGGGTTGTTTTGTCGACACTTCAAGACTGCCGCACGGTAAAGGCGGAGAGCAAACACGTTGGAGCACAGAAAGTACAGGACAACAATGGGCTCTGCTGCACTGCCCTCTGCTGACAACAACCTGACGTAACTTATGCATTCGCACGTTTACGCTCGCTCGCCTTCACCAACCCGCACTGATCAGCGCGGCCAAGTAGGGTCTAATAACCCCCACGACCCTGATCCACTCATCCGGTAGTGGATTGACAAAAGGGCTATGCACGCATATGAACGCACACGGGCAGCCACTCGTGACTCACACGGGGTTTAGGAGGAGTATGTTCTTGAGGAAGAGCACCGCGTTCCTCGACACCTTCGAGTAGCAGCTGCCGAAGTTGACCTCTGCCCTGCGGATGTTGGCGCACGTCTGCTCGACGTTCGGCGCCAGGAACGGATGCCCGCCGCTGAGTCTGCCATCCGCACGGAGCACCCACACACAGCAGTGGGCACCGGTAAAGCACGCACACTCCGGGTCCCACCACCGTCGGTTGCGGCTTGTGTGCCGTACATAGCAGCAGCAGCAGCATCATGGATTTCGCACGTTAAAAAGGCAACCCAGACAATACACATCTCGCCCAGACCCTGCCACAGCCCTATCGCTGATTGAGTATTTTATAAACTCTCCAGGGTTGTCCGAGTCACTCTCACTTACGGATGCGAGTTGGAGGTTAGGGCAGCATTGTGGGTTGCTGTGTGGTACGTACACGATAAATGTGATGACGCCCAGACCCCAAATATCCGCAGGGGTGCTGAACGCTCCTCCCTTTATCACCTCCGGGGCTGGAGGCAGAGGAAGGTGTTGGGGTGGTACAAATGGGGTCAGGGTAGGGAAGAGAGAGCAGTAAAACCACAATAGTTACAGGACCCAGAGAAAAAATGTCAGTCCCACTTGAGGTACCAAAGATTTTATCATCATCATCGTCTGCTGGATGACAGCCTTCTCAAGACATGGCAATTTCGCACAGTCTTGTGATGCAACAATCCATCTAGCTCCTGCACTAGAGAGGGGTTCATTGCTCCATCTCCGTGGTGGGCATCATCTCAGACGTGATCCTTTGGCTGCCATTCCGTTGTTAGTCTTGTACTCAGCCACCCAGCCACCCATCTACTCAGCTACCCAACCACCCATCTACTCAGCCACCCATCTACTCAGCCACCCAGCCACCCATCTACTCAGCCACTCAGCCACCCAGCCACCCATCTACTCAGCCACCCAGCCACCCATCTACTCAGCCACTCAGCCACCCATCTACTCAGCCACTCAGCCACCCATCTACTCAGCCACCCAGCCACCCATCTACTCAGCCACTCAGCCACCCATCTACTCAGCCACTCAACCACTCAGCCACCCATCTACTCAGCCACTCAGCCACCCATCTACTCAGCCACTCAGCCACCCATCTACTCAGCCGCCCATCTACTCAGCCACTCAGCCACCCATCTACTCAGCCACTCAGCCACCCATCTACTCAGCCACTCAGCCACCCATCTACTCAGCCACTCAGCCACCGATCTACTCAGCCACTCAGCCACCCATCTACTCAGCCACTCAGCCACCCATCTACTCAGCCACTCAGCCACCCAGCCACCCATCTACTCAGCCACTCAGCCACCCATCTACTCAGCACTCAGCCACATCACTCAGCCCATCTACTCAGCCGCCCATCTACTCAGCCACTCAGCCACCCATCTACTCAGCCGCCCATCTACTCAGCCACTCAGCCACCCATCTACTCAGCCACTCAGCCACCCATCTACTCAGCCACTCAGCCACCCATCTACTCAGCCACTCAGCCACCCATCTACTCAGCCACTCAGCCACCCATCTACTCAGCCACTCAGCCACCCATCTACTCAGCCACTCAACAACTCAGCCACCCATACTACTCAGCCACTCAGCCACCCATCTACTCAGCCACTCAGCCACCCCCAATCCATACTCAGCCGCCCATCTACTCAGCCACTCAGCCACCCATCTACTCAGGCACTCAGCCACCCATCTACTCAGCCACTCAGCCACCCATCTACCAGCCACTCAGCCACCATCTACTCAGCCCACTCAGCCACCCATCTTACTCAGCCACTCAGCCACCCAGCCACCCATCTACTCAGCCACTCAGCCACCCATCTACTCAGCCACTCAGCCACCCATCTACTCAGCCACTCAGCCACCCATCTACTCAGCCGCCCATCTACTCAGCCACTCAGCCACCCATCTACTCAGCCACTCAGCCACCCAGCCACCCATCTACTCAGCCACTCAGCCACCCATCTACTCAGCCACTCAGCCACCCATCTACTCAGCCACTCAGCCAACCATCTACTCAGCCACTCAGCCACCCAGCCACCCATCTACTCAGCCACTCAGCCACTCATCTACTCAGCCACTCAGCCACCCATCTACTCAGCCACCCAGCCACCCATCTACTCAGCCACTCAGCCACTCATCTACTCAGCCACTCAACCACTCAGCCACCCATCTACTCAGCCACTCAGCCACCCATCTACTCAGCCACTCAGCCACCCATCTACTCAGCCGCCCATCTACTCAGCCACTCAGCCACCCATCTACTCAGCCACTCAGCCACCCATCTACTTAGCCACTCAGCCACCCATCTACTCAGCCACTCAGCCACCCATCTACTCAGCCACTCAGCCACCCAGCCACCCATCTACTCAGCCACTCATCTACTCAGCCATCCATCTACTCAGCCACCCATCTACTCAGCCACTCAGGCACCCCGCCACCCACCGCTGTACTCCAGGGTGCCGCTGCTCCCGCTGTTGCCCCCTGTCCCCAGTGCGGCGACTTTCCGTGTGCTGCCGAAGTCGATGAGTTTGAGGATGCGCGTGGGGCTCACGACGACGTTGGCGGGGCACACGTCCAAGTGCAGCAGGCCGCGCCCGTGCACGTGCTCCAGCGCGCGTGCCAGCTGGCGCAGCAGCAGCACCAGGTCCTCCTCGGAGTACGCAACCCTGTCACGGGAGGGTCGAGGCACGTGTTTTTACCCAGAGCTGACGTACCTCTGTACCTCTTTAGACTGGGAATGGAATTTAGTTGTGAGCGGGACAGGATCAGGGAAAGGAGGGAGGGGGGGGGAGCTGTCGTTACAGTTTGTGTTAAACACACACGCATAGACACACGTAGACACACACAAAGTGAGGTACTGTGATATGTGCACACGCAGACGTAGCCAGACAGAGACACACAAGCACAATGGGAGACACACGCACCCACACATGGACAGTGCCAAGCACATGCACATACATACAGACACAAATGCACAAAGAGAGACAGGCACACGAATACACATGCATAGAGATCTGAATGCACACACACAGAAACATATGTACACACACACACATTGACGTAGCCATGCACGCCGACGCAAAAAAAGATCCCCCATATAACTTTAAAACTGTTAGTGATCAACTACTTCGAACGGCACAGCATTCGAGGGGGTGGGTGGTCATCACCACACCCAACCGCCTTTGTCTCTCCAGCGCTGATGTGTACACACCGCACCAGATACTCAACACACCGCACCAGGTACTCATGTAATGCTGAGGCGACTTAGGAGAGGCCCAGGACCGGTTTAGATATTGGCCGTGAGCGGGAATCAGCCTGGCGTCGCCGGTTTTGCAATGAAGTGCGCTCACCACTCCACTACCACTCCCCAAACCCACAACGATAACAACTGCCGTTTACCACTAAGTGCCAGACGAGGTGCACCTTGAGGCGTGGGGCTGGTCACCGCTCCACCTCAATTACCTGACCAAATAACCACAGGGAAATCACCACAAGAAGCAAGTGCCGGAGACCCCCGGGGGAACAGGCGTCTCTGATGTCTTCTGGCCGAGCCCCACTTGGTGGCTCCAGGAGACACTACCCACCCCCTCCCCACCACCTTAGGGCTCCTCCAGGAACAGCAGGAAACCACCGCGCGGTTGGCCACGTGGCAATGACCCGCCTCCTGCTGGCCGTCCGTGAAAAAGAGCTGTGTAGCTCATCGGACTCCTCCAGCGCAAGTAAATGTTCATATTCCGACAAACGCACGCACACTTGACCGCCCCCCCCCCCCCGGCGCGTGTCCACACTCGCCTCTCGCACAGGTGCTGCAGCAGCTCGCTGCCGCCGACGAGCTCGGTGACGAGCACGACGTGGCGCGGCGTGACGAACGCCTCGTGCACGGCCAGCACGTGCTCGTGGCTCAGCGAGCGCAGGGCATCGAATTCGGCGCGCGCCAAGGCTCGGCTCTCCTCGTCCGCCGCGGCCAGCACCTTGGCTGCGAACGCGCGGCCCGTGGCGTTCTCGCGGCACACCCGGATCACGCCGAACCGGCCCCTGCCGCGTCGTTCAAACAGTTCAAGCGTTCGTAACGGGAGAAAAACATTTTTTTTGTGTATGTTTTTTTTGGCTTGTCCCATAATTCTATGCCGGTTGTGATGTCACGAGACGAAAAATCTATTTGGATCTCTCGCAGAATGTGGGCGCTGAAGCGAACACCACAGAGCTACCTCTGAGATCCCACCCACTCTGCCACCGTCGTGTGACACGCCCAAGGGGATAATGAGCACTCAGGTGAAACGAAGAGACGAGCTCATGTGCAAGAGTGTGATGCATCATGGCATTGCAAGACCGTGAGCGATGGTGTGCAATGTATGCATGTTGATCAGCTTTCGCACTGTACGTAACCAACCCTGCTAATCGGAGGTGCGGGGAAGGATCACAAACTAAACACAAAAAAAGCTTCATCACGAGCTATGTGGGGAAGCTCTGATCCAGCAGTGCATTGCTCGCGGCTGATGATGAGGTTGGTAAGTGAATATGCGACTCGAGTACCTGGCCTTCTCCTCCAGGAAGGTGTAAGGAGCCTGCGGGTGGCCTCTGCGCGGTCGCCACAGTTGCCGGTGGCCCCGCGGTGTCACGACGGGACCTCGCCGTCACTCCCAAAGCGCGACCTGAAGATGTATGGCGAGACCCGGTTTAAACTCGCCGCACACCCGCCCCGTGGTGAAGCCAGAATCAGGCTCACGTTGAACGCGCGCGCCACCTAGTGACGGAATTGTTGCACCTGCCCCAAACCCAAATTTATTTTAAATAAGTATAACCCGTAAAAACAAAGTTTTTCACTATAAATCCTTTATATGCGTGGCAGCGAACTTAATATAAAGGATTTAAAAATATATTCGCCTGTGGAGGACGCGGGGATCGATCCCGCGACCTTTGGCATGGGAAGCGAGGGCGCTACCAACTGCGCTACTCCGCCACGGCCTGTGGAGGGGTTATGCTCTGGGCTCTTACATCTGACGTTCAGCCAAAGCCATGAATGCGTTCTATTTGAATATATGTAAAATACATTTTTTTTGCCTAAAAAGTGTAACATTTTGGGAATTTTTTTTCACGAACAATAATTGTCTGGCACAACGAGTCTGTGTGGAAAATGTCAGCTCGATTGGATCACGGGAAGTGAGTTAAAAAACGACCGGAAGATTTGCACGGTCCTAAGCAAGCAAGCACGCAAGCACGCGAACTTAATATAAAGGATTTAAAAAGCGGACAATTTAACTCCTTCGTATATCTGTCCCAGCACATACAAAATGCAAGTATCTTTTACACCCCCCCCCCCCCAACCACCTGGACCTTTGTCCGTGCATAATTCTGCAGCAGCATTGGTTCAATGCAAGCAAACTCTGGACCGGTTTCGACGTCTCATCATCAGAGTCGAGGCATTTTTGGGAGGGCAGAAATCATGCACTCCCAAAATGCCTCGGGGCTGACAGTTTTCCAGAAGATAGCGAGCGGGAAATTAGGTCCTGTCTACAAGTAGGAAAAGGAAGTTTCGAAGCTGGTGCAGGACAGGAGCAGGTGGAAAGATCTCATGCAGCCCCATCGCCAAACTACATTGGCCATATCGCCGGGACCGTCTCCCCGCACCTCCAGGGATGAGCGCGGGCTCCGAAGCGGGGCTGCCGCGGCCCTTGCCAACGCGCGTGGCGCACGACACCCTGAAGCGGTAGGCGAGGCCCTGGCACAGGCCACCCACGTGGTGGTACGTGTCCGAGAGGCCGCTCGCCACCTCCTGCCAAGGCTCCCCTGGGCCTGCGGTGGTGCAAGCATCACAGGCAGCACGTCAATGAAGGTAAGAAGGGGGCACTGGCATAGCGAGTGGTGTAATGTTACCAGCGAATGAGTCCTCGTCAACCTGGCGGACTTTGTAAAGTATCCCCGAGAAAATGTCTCTCTTTCTCTCTGTCCATGTCTCTGTGTGTGTGTCTCTCTCTCACCCTCTGTATGTATTTGTGTGTGTGCGTCCTCTCCGTGTATCTGTCAATGTCTGTATTTTGGGATTCCCTTCCCCCTGTCTGCACAGCGCCCTACGGGGGGGGGGGGGGGGGTTGTGGCGTCGTCTCTGATCGCGGCACGCAGGGATTTAGCTACCGGCTTGCATCTCGAGGCAGTACGTGAGCGGCGTGCGCGCCTGCATTGGCTTCCACACCACGAGGGCGCCGCTCTCAAACACCTGCGGCACCTCGGGGGCCGCCCCCGTCCAGCTTGGGGGCTCTGACACACCGAGAGGGAGAGGGAGACAAAGGCATGAAGGGAGACATGGGCACGGAGAGGGAGACGCAGGTAGGGAGAGGGGGACAGAGGCAGGGAAAAATACAAGGGGAGGGAGGAGCAGCCACAGGCTGTGACTTCCCCACGACGTGTCAAATCGGCTATTAGATGTGTCTGTCTATACGTGCACTGGTAAAATGTACGGCATTCGAGAACACCTAGGTAAACAAGGAGAGAACATTGAATGGCCCACACACACACACGCCCATTTGCTATATGCAACTTAAAGCAGGTCTCAATGCATTGTTGGCATTTGAAGATAACAACCAGGGCCTGTGGTGAAATCACTGGACCCGCGACGAGCATGTTGTCAAAACACGGCTCTGTGGTGCTCCCACGAAGCTGAGGTTATGATTAATTGAAGGGATAGTACTGGTCACTAGTTGGCTCGTTAGTTAAGGTGAGATCTGTTGCTTGCGGTGGCGGTACTAGCACGAGCGAGCATGCAGGAGGTGGTGGCTGACTAGGGAGGTACCGGCACGAGCGAGAGTGCAGGAGGTGGTGGCGATGCCGAGGGAGTTGACGGCCATGCACTCGTAGACTCCCGCGTCGGCCATGCCAGCCCGCACGATCGTGAGCAGCTGCCGCCCGTCCGCCGACCCGGCCAGCCGCACGCGCTCATCCGGCTCCAGCAGCTTCCTGTCTGCTCCGGCGGCCGTGGCCACCACAGAGCACAGAGGGGGACACAGAGAGGAGCACAGCGGGCAGGGTAAGAGCGAGCTGCAATGGGTAAGAGCGAGCTGCAATGGGTAAGAGCGAGCTGCAATGCGGCACCCCCTCAATTCAGAGCCTACATGGTTCCCCTTGGCTACCCCACATGGGTGACTTTGGCTACTCAACATTTAGGATGCATTTAGAATGCGGTGAATGAGAAGCGAGGACACCACGGTGCAAGTATAGGGGGGGGGGCACAGTCGTACCCTTGAGCCACGAGATGGTGGGGGCAGGACTCCCGGCCGGGCTGCAGCACAGAGTCACAGGCTCCCCCTCCACCAGCAGCTCGTCCTTGAGCTTCACGGTGAACGCCGGCAGGCTCTCTGTGGCACACGCCTGCTCAATGAACGTTCTTCGCGATCGCTGCACGTGACACGCGTGTTTTAGCCACGTGGTAGGATAGCGCAATCGTCCCATAACAATACATCGATTTGTTGATGAAGATAGATAATTATGCCGTCAGCACATGAATGGTGCGTTTTTTATGTACTGTTGTACTATGATTTATGCATATAGTCAGTTCGTGCGCAGGTGCTCCATGCATTGTTACATGTGTAGTGACACAAGTAGGGTCACTATGCCGTAGCACCAGCCACTTATTCTGGAGTGCCGCTGAGAGCCGGGAACCTCCATAGGAGGCTTGAGGGACACGTGGCCGGGAGCCGGGAGCCCCTGACTTGATACAGCAGCAGGGGGTGCGGCCGAGGGCGGAACAAGGCCGCGAGCAGCAGCGGGATAAAGGGGGAGCCCAGAGAGAGATCGGGGTTCATTTGTGGGGATCGTGCTGGGACTCTTCGCTCCCTGTTCGTCGGTTGAACCTTAGCTGGGGATCGTGGGTCAGACGGCGTGTGTGCTGACTGGCCCGTTCGCTAGGGTTCACTCGCACGCACATAGCGAGAATATAGCTACACCGAGCTATAGGACCCGAAGTGGGTACAGTGTGTTTATTAAACATGTTGCCTCCAACTATATTGTATGCGGCTCAGTGTTAGTAGCTTGGGGAGGCATTTATCCAGTGGTAAATTTACCATGTTTGACGATGATGCAAATTATATGCAAATATACAAATTGAGGATAATGAAGCAAATGCAATGCGAGCCAGAAATATAACGGGATCCCAAATCAAGCAGGCACCCTGATTCGTGATGGTTCACCGAATCAGGGTCTTATTGTATGGGCAGACCTTGGCGGTTGCATATCAACCATGCAATAGTTGTGGGTAGAAGAAAGGCGGCAGTACCAGGCGGGGTAGTTAACATCTCGCCACCGTGGCGCCCATGACACGACACCGACAGCACAAGTGAAGTAAAGCTGAGGAACAGAGAGAAGACGAAGGACATCGACGATTCGCACCGGAGGAGCGCAGCGATCGCCGCACGGACTCCTTGAAGCCGGAGAGCCGCGCGGCAGGCGCCGGGTTCTCCCGGGACACGGAGGCGAGGCTGTCACGCGAGCTGCTGCCCGAGTCTTGATGCGGCGAGAGGCTCCGGTCGCGCCGGTTCAGCCGGCTCGCGCCCCAGCGGTCCCAGCGAGAGCGCCGCTCCGGCTCCTCTGCCAACGGCAAACGTTGAGAAGGCAGATCCACACGGAAATTTCAAGGTCGCGCACGGGCATGTGTTTGTGTGTGCGTGAAATTGTGCGTATGGGTATTTGCGAACGTGTGCGAGAGAGCGTGCGAGTGTGTGTGCGTGTGTGCATTTGGGAAGTGGTAGCGTAGCCCTGAGTGCGTTGTGCTACGAACCCAGTTACCCGAGTTTGATTCCCGCTCACGGCCAGAAACACGTGACGATTATCTGTACAGGTCCTAGGCCTCTCCTAGGCCAACTCAGCCTCAAATGAGTACTTGGTGCAATATGTAAACATCGCCATTGGGGAGACAAAGGCGGCCGGGCGTGGTGCTGGCCACCCGTGCCGGCCTTCATAGATGCTCGCTATCAGTACTTGCCCCAAAAAGTATATTAAGGTTATACGGGGGATCTTTGTCTTTTTGTGTGTGCCCATGCATTTGTTTTGTTTGTCTGTATGTAAGAATGTGGGGTACGTCAGCGTGTGCGCGGGTGCATGTGAAAGCACGTGCTCACATTCGTGCGTGCACGCGCTTGCTGTGCACGTGGCATGCATCTGTGCGTACAACAGCGCGTGCCATTCGTTACCAGTATCCGTGCTGGCGCTGGTCACCGACCGCATGGAACTGCTGGAGGGGGACGGGGGCGGCTTGACGCCGCGCGACAACGTTCGCATGCCCTCGTCCCCGGACAGCTCGCGCAGGGATGCGCCCTCCGACCCCGTCCTGCGCAGGGGCGTCCACTCCGAAGCGGCGCGCCCCGGGCCCGTCGGCTCGTCCGCGTCGTCCGTGGCCGCGTCGAGGCTGCCCGCGCGCGTCTCGCCAAACGCCCTGCGCCGCGCGGCTTGCGCGTCGCCGCCGCCCGCCCGGTCCTCGGAGCGGCTGCGTCCCGAGCGCAGGGACAGGCCGGACACCGTCGCCTCGATCCTCCTTCGCAGGGCCATCGCCGGTGACGATGTGCGACCCATCGGGCCGTCGCTGCCCTCCGCCGCCGCTGCCGCGTCCCGCCCCTCGTCCCGGTCCCTGGCCGCCTGCTGCCCCTCGGTGGCCGGGGCCTCCCCAAGCTTGTGCTCTGACTCGATCTTCTCAGTGGAGCCGATCCGTTTGAGTCTCGAGGAAAACTTCTGCATCATGGTGGGGGTCTTGCTCCTGCCCTCACTTTCTCTCGACTCTGTGCCCTCTGTGGACTTTCGCTCGGTCGACGGGGACCTCTTGAACCGCTGCGACAGTCGCTTCACGAGGCTTCCGGGCTCCTCTGCGGGTTCCCGAGTCCTCGTCAGCTGCTCTTTGCTCGCCATCGCCGTGTCAGAGATGCTCCTGTCCCCTTCTCGAGATGCCGCGTTGCTGAGCATGGACCCGTCGGGAGAGCTCTGCTGGAGCTGCCGGTAGAGCACCTGGGTCACTGGAGCCTCTGCCACCAGAAGTTCCGCCTTAGTCTGAGACACGGATTGCTTTGGCGTACTCAGCGATCCGGCGCGCACATTCCCGGGTCTTTGCCCCAGCCCCTCGTCTCTCGGCGCGAGCTGTGGCCTCGTCGTGCTGCCGTTGTTTGAGAAGCGTTTCGCCATTTCCCTCACACTGCCATCGGTCGACGCTGCGTTGAGCAGGTGAGCGTAACGCCCGACCGTCTGAGGCTTTGATCCGTTTAGAAGTGGATTCGTATTTGTCGACTCGACCTCTCCTCCACCCGTGGTCCTCGTCACCCAGGGAGCACCGTTATCCGCTGCCTGTGATGTCCGCGCCTCTGTCGCTTGAGGTTTCGGCACGACCAAGCCCCCGGGCTCCGGGGTTTTTCCCGTGAACTGCGGCAGCCTTGTCGCTGCTGCCGTCTGCAGCTGCTGGCTTCTGCCATTCTGAGCGACTGAGCTTTGCGAGCTCTGCGTGATGGTGGGCTCGGCCTTTTGCTGCCGTAGGCACCTTTCATTGTCCGTCGCCACCACCGTTGTTTTCCTCGAGTCTTCATCGAGCGCGCTTCCCCCCTGCTGATTTCGCAGCATCGCGTCCAATGCGGTTGGCGTGGCTGAGGACTGCCCTCGTTGCTCTAACGCGAGCTGCCTTCTCAGCGCAGGCTCCCTGCCGACTGGGATACTGCCAGACGACCGGAACACCTCCGGTTTCCTGCCCGATGCGATGTCCTCAGAGGAGGACGCTCCCCGTTCAAGTCGTGTGCTCCCGGCAGGGTCACTCGAGCTGCGCTGGTGAACCTCCCTCACGAAGGACCTCCTCGGCGCCACCAGCGGACTCTCCGCCAGGAACGTCGAGGGTCGATCTTTCACCAGTTCCAGCGGCCCCCTGCTTTCCGTGGAGCTCTCAGAGGGAGGGCCTTGAAGCGTCAAACCAGGGCTCCGGCTTCTTGGTGGGAGCTCCAAGGATGCCGACTTGCTCAGGTGCGGCTTCAGGTACTGTGAGGCAGAAGCCCGGCCATCCTGAAAGGCTGCGTCGGCCGAGTTGGTCCTTTGGATCACGCCTCTCTGAGCCGCTGTGCGCTCCGAAAACGACTGCAGTCCCCATTCCATCGCCGCTTCCTTGCTGCCGCACTCCCCGTTTCGTTGCGCCACCACCCCGAGTCGGCCGAGCACCGCGGGCTCCTTGTCGGAGCCCAAGGTCTCCCGAGCGGAGGAGCCCCTACTATCGTCCTGGCTCCGAGCCGAAAAAGCTGGACGCAGTGCGTTCAAACCTAATCCATTCGAGCTTTCGGAACCACCTGGGTCTTCCTCTCCGGACGAGGAAGACGAGGAGGAGGAGAAGGAGGAGGAAGCAGCGGCGTCTCGAAGTTGCTTGGCCGTGCGGCGGGAGACGCGCGGGGCGACGTGGCCCGACAGCATCTCGGGGATGGAGCGCAGCACCACGGCCGACTTGTAGCGCACCAGGGAGCGCTGCTCGTACACACACACACGTGGCACGGTAGCAAGGCTGAGTCTCCCTGCCAGCAATGGGGTGAAGCTCATTTGCCCGAGTAGAATCGAGTGATCGAGAGAGGGAGCAGCCTAACCTTAGAAGAATCGCTGGGATTTTTGTTTACTTCTTACCCAATTACATTCCAATTTTGCACTCAGTATCAGGTCACGAGGCAGCCATTTTTCATTTGGAACATTGCAGCTAGTAGTAAATCATAATATGTTTGAGAATGCCCTGAGAAGGTTATATCACGTAACTATTTCAAGAGGACTTTATCCACACTAGAGTTCACGCCTTTATTTCCTCAGCACATACTGCACACACACGCTCACCTGCAGCCTTCGGCGGGACAGGAAGAATTTGAGTCGATCCGTGCTGATGTTTGTGACTCCTCGTAAAGTCGTGAAGCTCTGTGGATGATGAGGATAATACACTTCGCACCATTAGAAGTCACGCAGCTCCATGGACAATAACACCAAATCCATCCAGTGATGTGCAACATACCGCCACGGAATTTGTTTCAGTGCGGGCATTAAGAGCTGCTGTAGTTTGGCTCTACGAGTCATCCCGTGCGCTCATCAGACTTAAAAGGAGTCACTCAATCACTGGGTAGACTCGATCTATTGTTCTTGTTTAGGGTCGTATATACTTATTTTATTTATGTGTACAGTTATATTCACTTCATTGCATTAAAGCACAAACAATCCGCACACGCACAATTTGGTGTCCGCGGCATGAGAATGGATTTTTTTATTGACGAATCGATGCATCGTCACATGCGTAATGCTCATGAAGTCTCATGAGCCACCCCACGTAATCGTGGCCATAGCGAGGTGTTGGTAGTGCTTCTCAGCTTTTGCGAAGCGCTCTTACCTTGAACCACGGGTGCTTGAGGCAATCGTCAGCCAGTGGCCTCCGCCTGCGATAAATACAATCAGGCGGCAGCAGCGTGACCACGTGCAAACATCCGCGAGCGGCCATCAGAGTCTGCTCACGGCTCCAGGTTGAGGAGGCTACGAACCCCGCCCCGAGTTTGCCAGCCTCACGTGACGTTTGCAGGTGGACTGAAGCGCGCTGGCAGCGGCTTCTCACATAGAGACCCATGGACTCACACAGAGACCCAGAGACTCGGCATAGAGACCCGATGAGAAACAGGAATGCGCTCGCAGTGCAAGCAGCTTTCCTGGAGAGCTGCTGGCATGGGAGCCCAGCACGGGTGCATCATTGTTATCACTACACGTTTGCCATCCCGTTCGGGTGATGTAGGGGTGTTACGGGAGGGCGAACAAACACACAAGGGGTGGTTACGCCAGCACGCGGAAGGGTGCCTACATCCACGTCCGCATCGGTTAGCCCTGGGGGCTGTAACGGCGCTGTGATCCCCCACGGCCCCACCCCTCGGGGGGGGAGTTGCTATATAAGGCGGTGAGCCGTTGGGCTCGGTCTTCACTTTTCAGCTTATGGATAACCCAAAGCAAACTTCGTTGCTTCCTCAAATTGACAGTAACTAGGTTTCCTCTTGGGAATATGATGTTTAACCCACTCGTTACGAGCACAAAATCTTAATCGTTCTGTCACATTCACTGCTTGCTCCATGCAATAATGTGAAGAAGAAAAAAACCTAAATAAAGTTAAATATATTTTTCACGGTCTTGAGTAAGTTCAATGTTTTCTTTTGAACCTGCATAATTTACTTGCAAATACTTTGACTCAAATAAGCAACACATACTTCAATAATTAACATCGAAGCTGACCGAATGTAAATAGGCAATATGCATTCCGCCTTTGTAAACAATGTTACTCACTTGTGCAAAAGTTCCATGCTAGCAATACTGAACAAGAAAAAGAGTAGAGTTTACAAAGCATGAATACGCACTTTGATTTAAAGGCGTTTCCTCTTCTAATTAAAATCTAAACCACTAAATCGATGCATAACTGAGGCGACCATATTTATGGGAGTCTCAACCTGGACACGTTTCTTGAGTTGGCAGCCCCTCTGTCTGCCAGCCCCACCCACTTTCACGTGACCACACCCACTTTCACGTGACCACACCCACTTTCACGTAACCACGCCCACTTTCACGTAACCACACCCACTCAAGCGCTACCCCTGCGAGTTGCCTCGCTCATTCTGATGCTCTCCTCTCGCCCACTCTCCACAGGCCCCACCCACGCCGCAACCAGTCCCACTCTTTGCTCGTATCATGAGCAGCATGAGGCCGGAACATTTTGAACTGGGACAGAATCCAGATTTTTGCAAATCCTTTCAGGGAAACACCGAGACAGCCTTTCTGAAACCTGCACTGCCCGCCGGTCAAAACTGGACATTTGGTACGTTTGCCCAGAACTTTTATCTCTTCCCCCCATCATACCCTCCAGGCCCAAACAATCTATAACCCCCATCCCCGTCCCGTCCGCTGAGTGACGCTCACCCGATGTCCTGCACGAGCACTCTGGAGATGAAGTCCTGCGCCTCGCGGCTCGTGATCGCCGCCGTGCGCTCGTCGAAGTTCAGCGTCTTGCGCGTCACGTTGAGCAACGTCGCTCGGTCGTTCTCGCCCAGGAACGGAGAGAGTCCGCTGAGGCTGCGGCGACGCGCGGGGAGTAACGTAGTTACCGCCATCAACTAACATAGCCACCATCAACTACCAGCACCATCAGCGTTAATTTGATATATTGAGCTGGCTGATATTACGTATATATTTTATGTGTGGTGCTGGTGAATGTAATTTATGAGTACTTACCACACGTACGTAATGACACCTACAGGCCTGATGAGTAAAAACACAACGTGCGTTATAACATTTTACTTGGCGTTGATCAATGTATATGTAAACAACACGATGCATATTTTTACATTTTAAAAGAGCATTGGCACAGTGCTTATTACACCGCGGTCTGTCCTGCAACTCCGATTATCAGCGTTGGCTACATATGGTGCGAAAGAAGTTCAACACTCATACATGAACCTGGTGACCGGAGTTCCATTCCTGGCCACTACAGAACTGGCCCTGGGCTCTCCATAACTTCACCAAACCCACATTGACCAGTGTAGTGATGTGTGGTCAAACAACACCCATGATCAACACCGTGTGGGGAGGCCTTCAATGCAGGGGATATATAATGGCTACTACTCAGGGAGCCCCACCCTTTGCCCATATCATCAGCCAACCATGAGGCCAGAACATTTTAAACTTGGACAGAATCCAGATTTTCGCCAATCCTTTCTGGGGAACACCGGGACAATCTTTCTGAAACTGCGACTGCCCCTTGGCCAAATCGGGACATTTCGTCACCTTTGCCCAGAACTTTAACTTCCCCCCCATCACCCCCCCAAACCCTCTGACCCCTATATGATGGCTCATGATGACGAAGACACACGTGGGTGCGAGAGGCACCAGATGTCGGAGGCCTTGTACACGGGGCTGTGGCGCGCCACCTCTGGGGACACGAACTCAGGCGTTCCGAACTCGCTGTACTGCGGGGAGCCAGGCACCACCTCCTGGGCGAAGCCAAAGTCGCTTATCTTGATGTCGTCCTTGCCAGTATCGGCCATCAGGATGTTGGACGGCTGTCATGGGGGGACATACAGACGTAGGAACATGTGAATGTATAACCAGGTGGCAGCCCATTGGGACGGAAGGCTGGTGTGCAAGGAAGACCTAGGATGCAGAGAATGTAAATTGTAAAAACTACAAACTATAAAACTAAAAAATGTTTTTAACTAAACTATAAAACTAGACACTAAACAATTTTATTTTACCAAGTAAGACCCACTGAGCTATGTAGCTCTTTTTCAGAAGCGACCTGGCCACAAATGATCGCTGAACGAAGTGGCTTACCATGTGGAAATTGTATTGCAGCCGAATCCAATTTCCCACTCATGCCACTGCAGGCAGAAGGGCCTCTAACTGAGAGCTCAAGGGAGTCCATCTCAAGGGTATCGTTGGCCAATTCTTCCATGTTCATCTTGGAATAGGTGGGAGCATCCACACTTTACCCCACCACACGCAACTTGCGGGTCGACTGTGGTGTACTGACTTTTTATTCTGGGTGGCCCAGCGGGAGTGCATTCACGACTTGTTGCAGAAGTCCTCGGTTTGAATTTGGCATGCCACCCTCATTAACATTGTGGGTGTACTAATCAAATAAATACACGCCATGTGCTTTACAGTGGATGATAACAATCCCCTGACATAATTTGAAACGAGAAGGCTATAGTGTGCTGGGGTCATGGTCCAAATTATAAGGATTTTTTTGCAAATTATTAAAATTGATATCACACATCAATCATTGCTTCCTACTGGTAGAATAATACCCTCTTTCAGGCCCTAGTCCTGAGTTACTTCGTGTCTCATTTTAAAGGGTGCTGTGTGAAAGGGCGCCCTTTCAAATGCTTGAGATGAGATGATTTTTTATTCTCCTAACTCCTGCAAAGCACTCTCAAACGCCCCAGCGCAAAGGGCACTCTGTCAAACGCAATTACCGTGTTGCTGCTTCACATGTCGCGGCGGGAGATCGAACCAAAGACCACTGGGTTGTAAGTCCAGCGCGCAAACCATCACACCAAGGCAGATGTAAATGATAATAATGTTCTACAGGAGTTAAAAAGCTGTCAAGTTTAATTATTCTTTGGGTCTTTCGGTAAAGTCACGTAGATAGGATCGCAACACGAGCGTTCGTCGAACGCTTGTGTTGCGATCGAAACGTCGTAGTTTTTTGTTATTTTTTGTTATTTTCTATGAACCTATCTACATGACTTTACCGAAAGACCCAAATAATATTAATTCCTGCAGTCACGAAAGCTTTAAGTCAAGATTTAGGTTTAATTATGTCGATTTAAAGTGTTCATAATTTATACATTGGGCTTTTTGAGTGACGTAAAAAAAAAATTGTGCGACATTCACACAACAAATTAAATCTCTTTCTGCAACAGACGTTCCATTTCCAAACCTGTGCCTCACCTCGATGTCGAGGTGGAGTATGTTGATAGAGTGCAGATAGCTGATGCCCTCCAGGATCTGCTTGATGTACATCTTCACCTACACGGGGGGGGGGGGGGGAAACATAAATATAAATCATCACCAGGCGAGTGGTGTCTTTAACATCACACCATCGCAAGAGACGTATGTGTGTGTGTGTGATCATAATGGCTCGTGTCCTCCCACTGGCCTGATGTTCAGACAGCGCTGGCTTCTTCACCAGCCTGTCCAACAGCTCCTCATTCGAACACCTGTGAAGCGGTCGTTAAGGGCAGCTCTCATTTGTCTACAACACCATCACGACAGAGGGACGCAACTGTGACAACAATACAAAGAATATATACCAAGGGCATGTATTGAATCAAAATTATGAATCTTGACTTAAAGCTTTCGTGACTGCAGGAATTCATCTTCTTTGGGTCTTTCGGTAAAGTCACGTAGATGGTTCAAAGAAAATACTACGACGTTTCGATCACATCACAACACAAGCGATCGCTTGTGTTGTGATGTGATCGCTTGTGCTGTGATCGAAACGTCGTAGTATTTTCTTTGAACTATCTACGTGACGTTACAGAAAGACCCAAAGAATACAAAATTATGAATTCAAGGTGAGTAATTCGATAGTGAGAAAGTAACATGATAGGTGACTGACACGTGATTGATAAGTAACTGAATGAGTGATTGACAGATTAAGGATAAATAAATAATTGAATTAATGTGTTATCAATCAATCATCAATTTACGTGCCAATATCGCCCCTCAATAAAGTCGGCATCAGTGCAAACTGCAATGGAACGGGAACGATGCAGGGGCCACCGACTAACTGATCACACCCTCAACGGCTAACACCGACCGAGCAAAGTAAACTGAAAATGCGTGCAAAAAATACTTTCTTGACGAGTGACCGATGGATGACGAATCGACCGACTCCTTGACCAGAGTGACCTGATCGGTCCTGATCGGTGGACCGACAGAGGATACAGCTCCATGACGATGATGACGCGGCGCCGCGAGCGGAAGGCGTCGTGCAGGCACACGACGCGCTCGTGCGCGAGCCGTGCCGACACGCGCAGCTCGCGCTCCGCGGCCTCGCGCCGCGCGCGACCCCGGGGCAGTGACTTGGCGGCGCAGGGAGACCCCCCGCCGCTAAGCGCACGCACGCGGCGCACTGAGCCGAAGGCTCCCCTACGTGGGGGGGAGGGGGGGGGGGAGTCAGAGGCCGCACAGGCGTCAGGGACTGGGCACTGGGGGTCAGGGCCCGAGGGGCCGCACAGGAAGGCGAGTGGAGGGCAGCACAAGGGCAGCACCGGGGAGCAGAGGGAGTCAAACGGACCACAGTGGGGGCATGGCAGGGGTCAGAAAAATTATGAGGATACAAGTGAGAGTATGAAGGGGTGAGGGGCTGGGGCCAAGAGTAGAGAGTGCAGACAGGGCTCAGTGGCAACATAGAGAAGAGGGTCAGAGTTACAACAGGGGTCACGGTTATAACAGGAGTTCAGAAGAAACCAGTGGGTTCACAGAGGGTTGGAGGGGGTACAAGAGTTCACAGGGCAACATGCAGGTTAGATGGCACGTGAGGTCAGGGGGAGCACAGAAGTCGGGAGGACACAGGGGATGAGGTGGATTACAGGGAAAGAATCCTGGCTAAGGGACAATTGCATGACACAAATGCGTGGCATCGGCCTCGCTGCATCATCACGAGTGATGGCCCACCTCCCGATCTCTTCAAGTATCTCATAGTGGTCTTTCAGTTTTCGTACTTCTTGTTCTGGCATCTCTTGCTGTCGGGCCTCAGATTTTTCTAAAACAAAGAACAAATTAAGAAACAAAAGTTTATCACCGTGTAATATTAATTTCCAGGATAACGACACAATGTTCTCTGTGGCTCGATGTAGATTTGATCATAATTCCTAACTATTCTTGCCAACAAAAATATTAGCCCGAACCATAACCAAACGAGCCATATTAATATCAGCCCTGACCATAATAATATACGCTGACCAAATACTAGCACTGCAAACAAACAGATAAGCCAATTTAATTCTAGCCCTCACGCTAACTACACGAGCCAAGCAGCCCCCTAACCCTATCCAACCAGAACCCAAGCCCTACCGTTAGCGCTTCTCCTAACGCAAGCCCCACTCCAGGCGATTCATCTGACCAACCGTCTCTCCCCCACCCTCCTGTTTCACTTTCTGTTGGCGTGTGGCCCTCCGCTGCTCGCTGCTGCTGCTATGCACGGACATTGAAGGTATTTCGCACCTCCAATTAGCACGGCTGGCTATGCACGGTGGTGCGTAGTTCAACCTACGCACGTACACCGTTACATAGCCAACTGTGCTAATCGGAGGTGCTGCTGGTGCACGTGTCACGCGCACTCACCCATGCGCACGCTCAGCTCGGCCATGCAGCGTGCCGTGCCGGCCCGGGATCGCGCCTCGCACGCGTAGAGCCCGCGGTCCGAGCCACGCACGTCGCGCAGCAGCAGAGAGCACGCGGAGCCGCTCCGCGTCACCGACGCAAGCCCGCCTGCCTCCGCCAGCCGAGCGCCGTCCTGCACATGAACACACGCGCATGCGGGCGCGCAGATAACAATGACAACAACAATCACCATTCGCCACTAAGTGGAGGTGACGTCACCGCGGCGTTTGTGCCATGCTAGGTGGACTTTGAGGCCACGTGAAGTATCGAAGGCTCGCTGGGCAGGAGGTCACGGGACAAACCCAGGTGCCATGGGTTGACTGCCTGAGATGACTGGCAGATGCACCACCTGTGCCCCCTACTGTGACAAATATTGCTGTGTATTATCTCCCCGGCGCTCTGCTCGTTGTTGTGAGCGTCGTTCCTCTGCCCTTTGCTGTTGTTGGAGGGCGACTGCCTCCAACTCTCCAGTAGCGTCCTTCACGAGCCTCCTCCACAGAGGCCAATCTTGACATCGTTGGTACCAGTCATCAGCAAGCCAACTCAGCTCCAAGTGTGTGTGTGCGCCCAAATGCACACACACACTTGAGCTCAGCTACAAAAATTGCAGCGTTTTTAATTAGCACAATATCATGCAATATTTAAAGAGTTGTCAGCCTTACGCAGTTACTGCTATTGCGTAAACGTGGATTTTGCACACTTAAGCAGGGCCTGACTTGATGGAAAGTGCGGTGTTCAGCTGCTCTTTGAGCCGCCGTGAGCACGGACGGGGCTCAGCATGCCGAGCCTCCTCACCTTGTACCACAGCACGTCGGGCTCGGGGCGGCCGTGCACCACCACGGAGAGGCGGACCGAGTCTCCTTCCTGCACTTCCACGTCCTCCATGATCACCTCGAAGTGCGGGGCCTCTGCAACGCAGCGCTTAATGTTTGCTCACCAGTGACCGACCGCGATAGTCATCATCATTCTATCATAATAATTTTTCTTATTATCATTATTATCATGATCATCATCATCATCATCATTTTCATCGTGAACATCAGGATCAGCATCACCAATCAGTGTCATTATTTTCATCATCACCATTTGTCATATTTTTCATAACCGTAGTAATTTTCAGTATCATACTTTTTATCATCTCATTTGCATAATCGTAATCTTCATTATTTTCATCATCATCATGATTTTCAATAGATGTACAAGATTTATTGTGCACTATTGTGGAGGATTTTGGGATTATTATAATGATAAGTCCAAATTGGTCCAGAGTTTGCCTCCTCAACTTAATGCTACTGGAATACTGTCTCTTGTTTTAGGTGGCCCATGCATGGGCTGATGGACTTAAATGTCATTTCATTTTTACATCTAAACCGAACCATTGCCTGTTTATTAAGCGTGTTATTAATCTGTAAATGACGTTAATTCACAAACAAAGTTGTCAACCAATGATCACCAAATAACCTTGGATTATTCAACACACGGTACAGTATTTGCTCCAAACTAATGACCAATGCACTTTACACTGCAATGTGCCTCGCTGGGTTTGATTATTTTTATAACAAGTGCAACTTCCAGAGTAGAGATGCCAAAAAACGCCACAAGTTGCTACGTTGATGCAGCAAGTTGCTGTTAAATGTCAAGTGAGTTTTAAATCCGATAGTGTTGAAGGTTAAGGTTAGTAAATATGGTTTATGTTTATATATCAAAACTAAATATCATGCGACAGCCACCAGTGCCGCACGGCCAAGGTCTATTTGTGACAAATGCCGACGGTAATACAACCCGTCCATTATTAACTCCCTGAATGCCTTTACAATTCTTCATAAACTGAGGACTGACATCATCTCCGCTCAATCTGGCAGCATCCACAACTCTCCGCTGATTGCTTCTGAACCACCAGCACAAACGCATCCCCCGTCAAGCCTACACAACGATGGTACTCGTTTCAATCGAATTTAATGCCTCTGCTGATGTGACCCAGAAGGTCAAAACCGGCCAGGGTTTGCGTATTTAAACAAATGCTTCCAGTTAAATTTGGTGTGCGAAAGCCAGTGGGTGATGGACAAATGATGATGTATTTATATGTGGATGCAGAGACAGGAGTTTTGCTGCATATGTTTTTTTTTCTTAACCATTTTCTTGCTGTAAACGTGAATGTTACCTAAATATTGACAGTTGGCTGAAATGTTGAGCTATTTCCTTGAGATGAAAACAGTAAAATCCGGCTTATTTAATTAAAAAATATGTTTTTGTTATATTTAATATTTTTTAAAGATATTTAAAAATATAGTTTTTGTTCTATCACAATGATATTCCAATAACGCTATTGGCATCATGTTGTGAGTTAGTCAAATGTTCTATTTGCGGTATTCATGATATATTTGAATTATACTGTAATCCAATTAAACAATTCGCGATTTCCAGGCATTTAGCAATACGTTTATCTATTAAACTCGACTCGTATCCTCACAATCCACGCAATTGATTTTCTGTGTTTGAATCGATCGCTTTCAACTTAGCCTAATGTTTCCTTCAGGCGAACAGACGGAACCAACACGATAGAAACAGAAAGAACGACCGACAGAGACTACAAACAAGAAGAGCGCAACAGAATATACCAGGGGTGGGCAACTAAAATGACAAGAGGCATTTTTTCGAATTCGCTAAAAATGTAAATATTACAAGAGCCGCAATGCATAAGAATGACGTCACGAAGCAGCCCTTAAAGAGCCGCGTGCAGCAGTGCAGGAGTCGCAGGTTCCCGACCCCTGATATAGACAATACACACGTGGCGCAAATGAGACCGTACATTGGGCATGAGCACATTCCCAGCGGCTTCAGCCAAGGCCGATTGCAATATTTCGTGATGCCCAAGGCCACGTGAAACCGAGCTCAGGGGTGGCCGAGACACGAGTGGAAGAGGCACGTTGGGGTGTGCCCCCCCCCCCCCCCCCCCGGGCTCACAGACGAAGTCACGCACCGGCCTGCGAGACCACGGCCGTGTAGGAGTCGGATCCGAACTCGCCACGCGCCGTGCACACCAGCTCCCCCAGCAGCTTGGCGCGAGCACGCGGCATCTCCAGCGCCCACGTGCCCCCGGGCCGAGAGCTCAGGCGCACCTCGCCCGAACTCTCGTCCACAGGGATGCCGTTCCTAAAAAAAATTAAAGTCACAAACGCGCTGCTTGCGCTCGCGGTCACGGCGAACGACAACACGGGCGAAGCGGCGCGCGTGATCGGATGTCGACGGTACAAAACGCGCGCACGGCAGGAGAATTTATCGATTGTCAATTAAGCGCTGGCTATGAATGTTGGAATTCACGATGAAGTGGAAAAAAGTAAAAAAAAAATGGTTGTAGATGTGATTCAGGATTCATCTTCTTGGTTCTTTTGGTAAAGTCACGTAGAATGGAAATTATAAAATAAGAAAACTAAATAATAATAAAAAAAGCTATTTTTATTATTTTATTATTTCCATTCTACGTGACTTTACCGAAAGAACCAAGAAGATGAATCCCTGCAGTCACGAAAGCTTTAAATCGTGATTCAGGATGTGAGCGTAAGTGTGAGTGTGGATGGAAGCATTGAGGAGGGAGCGTTGTTCCTGCACCTTGTCCATGACACGGTCGCCTGCACATGGTTCAATCTGCACGTTATCTCCAGGGGCTCATTTTCCACCGCAAAAATCTCTTCATACTTCTTGACAAAGCGAGGAGGCTCATTGAGAAAGGGCTCTGTGGAGGAAGAACGAACAACCGTGAATACTGTCAAGGTGCAAATTTATTTTCACAGGCAGGCGCGGCAACTATTGTGTTGGTGGCCAGACGTGTCTGTGTGTGATAGTGAACAGCAATAACTGACCTCCCCCTCCTTTCCCTTTCCCCCTCTTTGGCAATGTGTTGTAGCCCTTACCACCATTCCCCTGTATATATTTTGTATCATGTATTTCTAAGATTATGTACGCAGCCGCGACGTGTTGACTGCTCTGACTCACTTGAGTGTGAGCGTGTGAATAAACGATTCATATATATGATATACTTGTGTGTGCTGGTAGACAGCCACACTGTGTGCTGGTGGACACTCTTGTACGCAGACACGCACGTGGTGTGATTTTTTCCTTAACCGACTGTTGGGGCAAGTGTCGGCAAGGCACAAAAGGGGGTGGGTGGCCAACACCACGCCAGACCACCTTTGTCTCCCCAGTGGCGATGTTTACACCACGCACCAATATACACATTTGAGGCTGAGTCGACCTAGGGGAGGCCCAGGACCCATTCAGTTGTTACTCGTGTTGGCCATGAGTGGGAATCAAAGCTCGGGTCGCCGGGTTCGTAGCGCAGCGCATTGACGCGCTAAACTATTGCCCCCACACACACGCACACACACACGGACACACGCACACACACACACGGGTGCCGGTGTCCACTGTGCCCGCGTGTCCCCCACTTCCCCACCACCCCCACCACCCATCCCCACACCCCCCCTCCCCCCCGTCGCTGCTGCCCTCACCGTGGGGCAAGAGGCAGGTGGGCGCCGAGGCGGGCGAGGGGCGGCTGCAGCCGTGCGGGCTCACGGTGAGCGCGCGGAAGAGGTAGTGCAGTCCCGGGCGCAGCGTGCGCACCGCGTGGCTCGTGCCCGGAACGTTGGACGCCACGACGATCCACTGGCTGCGGCCAACCACCTGGTACTGCAGCGCGTACGTCACGGAGCCCGGCTCTGCCGACGAAGCAGTGGCATTTGTCTTTAATTCGTTTTGCATTTTATCTTGAACGAGGGGAAAAAATAGATTAATTTTTACGTACATGTTCAATATCATGATATGAATAATAATTAACTTATTTATCCAGGAAGCCACACTGAGTCATATGACTCTTCTTTTCAGGAGGGTCCTGCCACATTGGGTTGTTATTTTCAGATATTATCAGCCAACGCACACGAGCGGGAAGCACTTTGTCCTTGTACGGATGATAACAGATGGGGATTTGTCCGCTTGCTGTCCTGCCATCTCCTGTCGAGCCAGGGTATGGTACCTCCTCGACACCCACGGAAAGGGTGTTTCACAACATCTGTATGATGCACCAACCCTCGCCTCCACAGTGATGGATTACAGACATGCACCACCACCAAGCTGGAATCATCTAAGTCATGATAAAAGAAAAATACCAACTCTCACACTGAAATATCAGTCAAACTGATGTTTTTTTTACATCTCGGAGCTGGAATTTAGCCAGCATGAAGCCTAAACAAAATTTTAAGTGGTTGCTCTTTCGTTGTCGATGCAATTCAGGGGGAAATGCGTTGGTTTTGCGTTTACCTTCACTACAGAAATAAAACCATTGCGAATATTCATTTGACCCCATTGTCACGAATGAGGTGATTGAATGGACAGATGACGATGAGCGCCTGACCTGAGAAAGCCTGGAAGGCCTTGGGAGGTTTCCACGACAGCGTCACGGAGTCGGCAGTCACATCTGTGACAATCGGGGGTCCATCCGGAGGCCCGGGGGTGGCGTCTGCCGAGATACAGAGAGAGAGAGAGACAGACAGAGATGCGCGCCGTGACTTCAGGACCAACACACTTCTGCAGAACGTGGATGAACAGGGGGAAGCTCTCAAGGGAAGGCGAAGGGGCATTGGCCTAAGTGACGCCACTGAATCTGACTGCGTGCTCACACATTGGAGGGTTACTGAATCCCACTGTGAGGTTGAAGGATGATGGAACCCACACAATAAACAGCGCTCGTCTCGTAGCTAAGCACCTATACTGTGTACCCCAGCTGTCTGACAACAGTTTGAAGTCTAATGTATGATGATTTAATAGATAATTAAAATTATGGTCAGGTAAGGTTAAATTGTATGTGGGTGCTGGGTAGATTGTTGCACCGTGAAGTTCTAATTCAGTGTCTTTTCACGAATTCACGTTAAGAGTACGGTAGTTTTTTTTAATTCACGAAGTCTAAAGCTTGTGTCAGACGGTCTTTTGTGAGTATCCACAACAGCTGTTTGTGTTTCGAGGTGTTTCTTTTGAAAATGTTTTCACGTGGAATTAAATTGTTATTTAGATCATTAACTGAACGACAGACCTTTACCAAAAAGTATTACCAGTCCACGTTGAGAGTCGTGCAACAATTGGCCTTGATCACATGCAATCACATTTAACAAAGTAACTTTTTACCACAATGTCAGAACACACATATATATAATACTAGCTATACACGGCAGCAACAGACAGTTTACAATTGTGATGGGGAAAAAATGAATAGGCTATACCCTTCGCAGCAAACTGAAGTTTACAATTCTGCTACGTCTGTTAGGACAGCAAATGACAGATCTCCAAAACGTATCATCACGCGCGGCAACAGTGGATTGGTTACAATCGTCGGCCGTTACCACTTCCACGGAGAGATTGTCAAGAGTCGATCATTTTCGTTCTGTTGTGACTTCTGCTGATGCTGGTGATGCTACTGTGACTGATGGTTGTGATGCTCTTGCTGGTGCTGATACTGCTGCTGGCATTGTTAATATAACTATAGCTACTGCTGCTGCTTCTGCTGCTGCTTCTGCTGCTTCTGCTGCTTGTGTTGGTATTGCTTGTGCTGAGATTTTACTTCTGCTGCTGCGACTATTGCTGCTGCTACTACTGCTGCTACTACCGCTGCTGGAATTGCTGCTGCTGGTGCTGCTCCTGCAGCTGTTGCGAGTGTTGCTACTGCTGCTGCTTGTGTCAGTGCCGGCCCGTGCCATGTCTTACCCACGACGTGCAAATGAGCGTGACAGAAGGCCCTCCCCGCGGAGTTTGACAGAATACACTTGTAAACGCCGGCGTCAGCCAGCTTTGCGGACTGAATGATGAGCTTGAACGTGCCATTCTCTATGCGAAAACAGAAGGCACAGCCAGCGGCTCCATTATGCGGGTGTTCCACGGGACAGGCAAGACACGGGGAACGTGGGATGGGAAACACATTGAGCACAAAACACCGTTCATCCGTTCGCAGCCCCTTGGTTGCACTTAGAGACGCATGTCAGAAGGGCATTATTAATTGTTTACAGCAGTTGTAGGTACCGGGTATGGCCACCACTCCGATGACATAATACTCACGTGTATCCAGGCGCAGAGTGTGCAAGGCGTCACACCGTCTAATAACACTTTTTTTATGAAGAATATAAACTTGAAACATTCGGATCCCGAGGAGTTGGGAAGTATCACCCTGCCTCCTGATAAAAAGTCCAAGTGCCTCAGTTCCAGAGAAGGTGGGTAACTGCTTATGTCCTACTTGGGTGAGTAGTGGGAATTAAACATTCCTGTTGGGGTAGGTGAGTGGAGAGAACAACCACGATAATGTAGAGTTGGATGGACCACCCACCACCGACTGGAATTTAAAGCCAGTTTTGAGTTGGGTTCTCAAACCACGTATTCGCCTGGCCAGACACACCCTCAACATAATCACTGTCATCATATCGAACGCAGAGGCATCAGTCCGGTTATCCCTTGCCGAATCACAAGAGACGGAGGCAGGGAAAGCGTGTTTAGTGTGAGCGTCTGAGCGATCGAGTGGGCAGCCCTCACCCTCTTTGGACGTGACCCTGCCGCCCAGCGGGACCGGCTCGCCCTGCCGGAGCCAGGACACCTGGGGAGGGATGCGCGCCTGGCCCCGGCACTCGAGCACGGCGCAGCTTCCCTCCTGCACCGCCACGTCGCACAGTGGCTGCGAGAAGTCCGGGGCGGCCTTAGGGTCGCTGGAGGAGAGGACCGGAGGGGGTCGAGGGGCGCGGGACCCCTGCCGACCGGGCGTCTCGAGCGGCCCCCTTGCCGGACCTGGGCGGTGCCAGACGCCGCGCGGAGTGACCTCGGGCCGTGGCTGAGTCTCGAGGCCCGTCCCGGTGAGACTCTACGTCGCCGTCCCTCTCCGCCTCGCCCAGCTCGGGCTCTTCGGCGATGGAGGGCATCATGTCGCGCTTGGATCTGCAAGGCATGGCAGAGATGCTCACACCGCTCCGTCATCATCATCATCAGCCATGATCAATCCACTGCTGGATGAAGGGCTCCCCGTCATTGCGCTCTATCGGGCAGTGGTAACTGCTAATCTCAATTGCGAGGATTTCCAGTGGCACTTTGCTCTCAGAATAAGTGTGGTGAGAATAAATAATGGTTAAAATGTTACCCTGATTGCGAACAGGAAAATAATGTACGTGTCCTCTATAAATGTGTAGAGTAAACCTATTAAGGAGACAGACAATGAGTCTTCAGTTAAAATAAACTACACTTTATGGATTCTATCCAATCACATGGTCCATGCTGATTTGAATAAGTAATTTAATCTGTTCATTGACCGAGCAGTAGCGCGTTCATAGCTTGTTACAGAGATTCACGGTTCGAGACCCACAGCCGCCCTGGTTAATACTGCAGGTGTATTTACCATAGAACACATACATGCTGCCTGCTTAATGCTGGACGTCAAAATATCCCGAGACTATAAATAGATAGGGTTCAAAATTGCCATAGCACCTTTGCCCCCTACAGGCGTCACTCGCTTAACAATCGTTTCTATTCTATGAGAATTCATCATAACGAGCAATTTCAATTTAGACCCATTTGTTCGCAAAACGAGCAAACGTTTGCTTAGCGAGTAGAGAGACCCATTGAAAAATGTGTCCCGTGGCAGCAGGGGGCGTACGGTGGCCCACAAGCTGTGTTCACCAGCTCTCCTGTGCTGTGCCTGCGTGTATAGTCGTGTGGGGGAACGGGGGCCTTGTGGTGGCACTGCGATGGGTGGGTGGGGGAGGCTCAGTTGAATTACATGTTGGAGGCGTGCGGGGCCCGTGGCTCGCTGACGATGAGCGTGCAGGAGCAGCTGACCTCGCCGTGGGTGTTCGCCGCCGTCACCGTGTACTCGCCCTCGTCCTCGGCGGAGGCGTGCGGCACCGAGAGGCAGTGCAGCCCCTTCTCCGCTGACACGCGCCGCCTCTCGCCGCTCTGCACTGGCCGGCCTGGGCAGAGTGCAGTGGAAAATACTGCTGTTTCTACCAGTTAGAGTTCATACTCTCAGTTCTTTCGGTAAAGTCACGTAGGTAAAAAATGAAATTAATAAAAATAAAATAATAAAATCTGGCTGTGACGGTCCCACCTGATGACGGAGACTTGTGTTGCCTCCGAAACGTCGTGATTTTATTATTTTATTTTTATTAATTTAAATTGTTTTTACCTACGTGACTTTACCGAAAGAACTGAGAGTATGGATCCTTGCAGTCACGAAAGCTTCAAATCTAGAATCAGTTAAGAGTTGCCTTTATTTTACAGGTGATTTGGCGATGCTGCTGCTGTTGCATTGGTAGTGATGCACAAGCACAATTAACGAGGGGGGAAATAACTCAACACATGAATCAATAACACTATGGCATGAACAAACAAAAAGTAGATGTTAATCTAGTCTAATTTTATGTTTATAGAGCGTCTTCACTCAAATCGCTTAACATAGTTTAAAAACGGTGACAGAATATAATTATTTAGATGGCAGAGAGAGGGTACTTGGGGATCACGAAAGGGTTAGGGAGGGAAGGGAAGGGAGTGGAGAGGGCGAGAGGAGGGAAGAGAATGGGCAATAGAGAAGAAGCTTTATGCTTTTTGTCAATGGCCCTTCTTCACAGCATATAGAGAAACCAGAGTGATAGAGTGGCGTCTCTTTGTGCTGCGAAGGACAATTTTCTGCAATGCCACCTATTATAAAACTAAATTTTTTATTTCACCAGGTTAAGCTCGCTGAGCTATATATATATGTTTTTTGGGGCCGTCCATAAATTACGTCACGCGATTTTGGGCGATTTTTGACCCCCCCCCCCCTCGTCACACGGCGCTACGAAAAGTCAGACCCCCCCTCAAATATGACGTCACAAAGCTCTGCCCCCCCCCCCAAAACCATATTTCCATTTTGAAAATAAAACATGCTTCAAATCGCTTTAAACTATTGTCATTGTAGTGCGTATTTGATGTGGCGCTGCACTGATGTTGTAGGAGTGTTGTTATAACAATTAGTGTTGTTATAATAATTCTATATTTATTTAAAGTTGCGTATTTTGATGTGACGTTACATTTCTCCCCCCCCCTCGTCACAAATGTCTGACCCCCCCCCCCTAGGTGCGTGACGTCATTTATGAACGGCCCCTTACTGCCTTTTGTGCTTAGTTTGTTGTCCTTCCCCCCCGCACCACCGATTAACACGGTTGGCTACGTACGGTGCTAAAGAAGTTCAACACACGTACGTGGCAGCTGGATAACCCTGTATTGATATGCGAATGTTGTGCTAATGCAACCATTGGGTTAACGGAGCGAGTGATACAGAGACAAAAGCCGACAAACACAATTCGACGATATTACAAAAAATATCGATTCGTGCATCGAATCACAATCCGCACAAGTGACAAACCATCGAATGCCTGTGGGAACGGGTGGACCTGGACGTGCCGATGAGACGACACCGCGTCGTGCATCCCTGCCCCACGCGGTGGTGATGACAGCTGTTCGACATAAAGGCCACGGCTCCACGTGGGTGGCCACTGAGCTTCCTTGCATCGTTTATGCACCTGGCACATCCCACCCCTTCCCTCCTCCGCCGAGTTGGATGCATTGTCACACGTCTCGGATTGGCACGGTTGGCTACGTACGGCGCGAAAGAAGTTCAGCATATACGCGTGCGTGCATCTGGGTCACGATTTGACTCGATCATCGATTTTGTTGTTTGGTCGTTTTACGCTTTTCGTTTGTACCGACACTGTTGTAATGTTTGACTCGTGCTGCCTATAGTAGTAGGTTTTTACCCTTTCAACTGGTACAAAAACTGACACCTTTATACAAGGGATCATGTTTGCAATAACCACAACACAAGCAATCAAAATGCAAACAAAAAGAAACAACTCTGATAATGATATGCACTGTCCTTGAAGTTGATTGGTCCACACCCGAGACAGCTTTTCTTAGAACCTAGTCTCCATTGGTGTTGGACCAGATGACGCCAAAAGGCGTACGTGCTGCCTGTTTCGTTAATTCGTCTGTGCACACATACGAAGGAGACGTCACGGCGATTTCCAACTGCGCTGCTCATGATGCGGTTATCTGGCTTGGCCACTTGAATGTGAAATTGTAGTTGATGCTCTGCATCTACATGATCAGCCGTACGAAAGAAGACGACTGGCCATCTAGTTTGTAGTGCATGTTCTGGCTCGCTTCTTTCCTGGGGTTAAGTTCAAGCTGGCACTGTGCGCAATGGATAGGGATTGGTTCAATGTTAGCGTTAGGGTTGTTGAAGTGATTGTAGGGTTGGTGGCGGTTATGAGTGTGGTTGGTTAGGGGCGAGTCGTGGACGTGGTGCGATCGGATCATTGGGGTTTATTAGTAATACATCGGCATTTTGCGACCCCCACTGTCACTGTGTAGCATATTATTATGTGCCAGGGACTCTATGAGATGATAGGACAATAGTCTGAGTCCATAATTGGCAATAAGTAACGGCAAAGCGGTTATAAGTGACTCAGAATTGTGCGCAGTTGCGTATACAGTCCACGACTTCCCTGAAGGCATTCACCTTCAGCGAGCGCGATGCAGATCACGCACGGTTCGAATTCTACCCTCGATCGATGGCTGTGCCATCGCCGCACACGCGTCGAATTAAAAGCAAGGGACAAGTCCTTATTTACTAACAACTCCTCTATAATTTTTCATTGCTGGATGGGTTGACCAAAAATCCTGGCTCCGCCATTGGCTGGGGTCATGAGAAGGGGGGGACGGGTTATGGTTGGGGTTGAAGAGAACTTCTCCTAGCACACGTGGCCCCCCCGTTGCTCACCGTCTCGGAACCAAGTGACGGTTGGAGCCGGGGTCCCGCTCACGCGGCAGTCGAGGCGCACGGGGCGCCCGTCCGCCACGTCGAGGCTCTCGGGCTTGCGCGTGAAGATGGGCAGCAGCGAGGGCCTCACCACGAGGCGGATGGAGCAGGTCTGCTCCTCTGCGCGTGCCGCGAACACCGGACACGGACGAGTGGATAAAAGATTCGTTAACCTTTGGAATGGCACGAGCGACGCAGCTGCTGTGCGCGGCTTTAAACTTTTGACAGCAGTGACGGTCGTCAATATACGTCGGGTTGTAAAGACTTAACTGGTGTATCGTCTGACCGACAGGTGCATCTATCACAAGTTCAATAGTGCTGTTTGTTGCTAGCCGCTTGACTTCTGGGGTTGTCGGGACCTATGCTGAGCAACTGAGATTTGTAAATATATATATACATTTGCATTCAGTAACGAATGGAAGTTTCCATAATGCGCTCCAGTCGAGTAGATTTCATCGTTTCGCAGAACAGCAAACTCTAGGCGGTATACGCCTTAATGCGTTACGCATGGCATTTAATGTGGACACATTTATTGGATACGCATTCGCAAAAGGAGTAAATGTTTCGAAACCTAAGCAGGCTTGGGCCTGCATAGCGCTTGGAAGGGTGACCACCCAGCACATACTGTACAGGTTCGTCACACGGCGGTGGGAAGCGGAGGGCAGATCAGGAAATGAATTGTTATTCTGTGCTCCCCGCTTTGAACAACCCGTAGCGACTAGCGCGGTGAAGTATGGTCAAACAACCTCCACGATCGACAGTGTGGTTTTGGATGGTGGGAGGGGGGGGGGCTTATCCAATAGTGGATTGTCAAAGGGCTGTATACCACTCAGGGCCGTACATAGAGAGATGCGGGGCCCGGGGAAAATCATGTGTGGGCCTCCTGATGCCTTCAAACGACACATCTGACACCGTGACGTCAGAGCGCGTAGCCCCCCCCCGCCCCCCCAAAATGCGGGGCACGGGGCGGTCTCTCCCCGAATCGTCGTACCCAAGGGACAACTCTGAGATACCTGTACCCCGATTAAGATCCTGGAATGAAACGATCGGCCCTTACACACCTAGCACGTGTGTGCGTTTGGTAAGTTTAGAAGAAGAAAGAAAAAAATCGACACCTTTGGCGGTGCTGAGTCGGCACGTGTAGAATCCGCTGTCCTCCTCGTGCGCCGCCGGGAACACGAGGCGCGCCTTGCGGCCGTCGGAGCGCATGCGGCAGCCGAGCAGCGCCGGCTGCACCAGGCGGCCCGAGCGCCACCAGTCCACGTCCATGTCGGGCGGCCCCAGCAGGGAACACTCGAGCACCGCCTCCTCGCCGGCTCGGCTCGACACCTCTCGCGTGGCGCTCACCACCGCCAGCTGCTGCTGCTGCAGCTGCTGCTGCTGCTCGCCCACTGCACGGCACAGAAGGCGCGTGGGCAGAGATGCCAACCAGCATCAATCACCTCGAGCAGCGATGTGATGATGTTGGTGCACGTCGCTGCCGCTATTGTGTACCACCTGCGCGCTGGCTTTCGTGGATGTGACGCGCCGTGAGCTCTCCGGTGCCGCGGTACCGCGTGCTGTTCGGCACCACGTGTCCCGACGTTTCGCTCGACGTGTTGCAAAAAAGCTCCCAGTACGTGCGGCCAAACGTCGGGCATTGTTGAACAACATGCGGTACAATCCGAACAACATCGGAGGGCTGTACTCATGACGATGTCTAATTGCTCGCGGCCCGTATTCGACCCGCGACTTTGTTTCATACGGTTCGCGGCTACACGAGTCCTAACACTTCTTAACGGTCCGCAATGTGTATCCGCCACTGCGAGCATCTTAGTCGCACTAATTGGGCACTGGAGGGGATTCTGTTCGACCTGGCAGCAACCGAGATTCAACTTTTAGCGCGCTCAATCACTTCTGTCCCTATAATTTCAGTGACAAAAAAAAGTGGCTGGACGCGAGATGGACCGTTGCTTTGAATAGCTCCATGAGGGGATGGCGACGGCGTGGGGAGACCTTCATCCAGCAGCAGATAGACCACTGACAGAGGCACAACGACATGCACACAGAGACAGACGTTCTCACCTGAGCTCCCCGAACTGCCTGCACCCCTGGGGATCGCGTTCCGTTGCGCCAAGGCGTCTCCGTTGGCCACAACTGCCAAGAACGGGCCCACTTTCCCGTCAGCCATAGCCGACCTGAAAACAACAACGACAACAACAACCACGCATTTCGATTTAAAGCTTTCGTGACTGCAGGGAACCAAGAAGAGAACAACCACACAACCACACAGTGAAAGCTGGATATAAGCACATCTAATTAAAAACAAGTTTCGATATAAGCAACACATTACATTGCACTAGTGAGGGGGGGGGGCAAGTTCTGGGCAAGTTGTGATACAAGCGCACTCCTTTGGATATGAGCATAGCTGGCCTTGCTTCCATGGGGTGTGCTGATATCCTGCTACTTTTGTAACATCAACAACGCGAACAAAACCACTAACAACAAGACGGATGTGAGACGCGCATCGTGCTCACAGTTCCGCCACGTGAGCTGTTCTTTATATGGCCATCATCATCATCCTCGGCGCGCGTACCTTAAGGGTTACACACTGCTTTGGAATGTCCCTTTAGCCCACGTGTGGCTGTTGTGGATTTAAATTGCAGCCTAACACGGGAGGAGTGTAATCCTTTCGGTTTGCTCACAGACGGTATTCTTAGCCTTGACTGCAGGGGGTGTAGCGTAGAACATTGTAAACCATACACGTGCATGGCGTAAGTAAGTGCTGTTAGCAAGCACCTATTAAGGTTGGCAAGGCACGCGACGCGTGGTATGTATGTACGTCGAACTTATTTTGCACCGTACGCAGCCAACCGTGCTAATTGGAGGTAGGGCGGAAGGACAATTAACTAAACACAAAAAGTAGTTGTAAAGAAACGAGTTTTCAATCTATATTTAAAAGTTGCGTGGCTCACAGCGGTTTTTTTTATATCGGAAGGAAGAGCGTTCCAGACGGCCGCAATTCGAGCGTCTGAAAGCGTGCGTTGCGTTGGCGGTCTTCGTTGGATGGCCAGCCACACCTGACCGCTCTTTGCGCACGAAGCGATCCATTTATTCATTTATCGGTGACAGCCACAATGAGTCGTCGGGGCTTGGATTTTATTTTGAGACGTTTTCAATCCATGGATGATGAGTGTTGATACAAAGTGAAAACCCACGCGCGCACAACGGGATGGGGGCAACACACAAGTGCCGATGTTTCAACTTCAGATGCCACTGCTTACTACTACTACGGAGGAGGTGTTCGCGTGTGTGCTGGTGAGCTCTGCCCATGTTTTTTATTTTACTTTTATTAATTTTAATTTTATTTTTTACCTACGTGACTTTACCGAAAAAACCTAAGAGTCTGCCCATGTGTTCTCTGGTTGTTACCGCGTGTTGCTCGACGCGATGTTCGTCCGACCTTTTGCTTCACGTGTTGAGCAGATCGCACCCAGCGCGTGGAGCGGAACGTCGAAAGCACACATTGAGATAACTACACACCCGCCACGAACTTAACACCCACTCCGCCGAGGTGAGGGCCCAGAAAACGATCTGATATCGATCGTGAGTGACCGAAAGTTAGCCCCGTGACCGCGAATCGCATTCAGGTCGACGTGTTCATAGCGCAGCGGCGGTGGCGCGCACGTGAGAATCGATGCCCCACCGCTCCCCACTCACACACAGAGACCCCCCCGACCGCCCGCCCTCCCTCCCCGCTTCTGAGAGCTCTCAGCATGAGGGTCGCGCCGCCGCGATTTATTTCTGGTGGTGATGTCAGCGCCGTGTCCTGCGTCACGCCGAGTGACCCCAACTGCGTTCTAGCGGTAATGCTGACGACGCGGGTTGTTCGCCTGGCACGGTCGAGGTGGCGCGCTGCGGCCCGTATCGGTCTGGGCTAAAGCACACATCGGATTGATATGTGGAAACATGGGGGTGGAGTTCTGCTGATATTCGCGGGTTCTTCCAGCTGAAGTCAAATGTCTCTGTCTATCTCGATTTGAAGCTCTCGTGACTTAAATTTTGATTTAAAGCTTTCGTGACTGCAGGGATTCATCTTCTTGGTTCTTTCGTTAAAGTCACGTGGGTAGAAAAATCACAGATCACGACGTTTCGATCGCAACACTAGCAATCGTCATCAGGTGGGACAACCACAGCAAGAAAAAAACAGCTGAAGTAGGCGAGAGATCTGCCGTGGCACGAGCTTATATAGGCCTCGGCAGTAGGGGGGGGAGGGGGGGGAAGGAGGCGGGGCAGAAAGTGGACCCCGCAGCAGCACCCGGGTCCCTCGAGTAAAGGGACCACCGCGGCAGCACCCGGGTCACTGGAGTAGAGTGGGCTACGGCAGCAGCACCGGGTCACTGGAGTAGAGTGGACTACGGCAGCAGCACCCGGGTCACTGGAGTAGAGTGGGCCACCGCGGCAGCACCCGGGTCACTGGAGTAGAGTGGGCTACGGCAGCAGCACCCGGGTCACTGGAGTAGAGTGGGCCACCGCGGCAGCACCCGGGTCACTGGAGTAGAGTGGACTACGGCAGCAGCACCCGGGTCACTGGAGTAGAGTGGGCCACCGCGGCAGCACCCGGGTCACTGGAGTAGAGTGGGCTACGGCAGCAGCACCCGGGTCACTGGAGTAGAGTGGGCTACGGCAGCAGCACCCGGGTCACTGGAGTAGAGTGGGCTACGGCAGCAGCACCGGGTCACTGGAGTAGAGTGGGCCACCGCGGCAGCACCCGGGTCACTGGAGTAGAGTGGGCTACGGCAGCAGCACCGGGTCACTGGAGTAGAGTGGGCTACGGCAGCAGCACCCGGGTCACTGGAGTAGAGTGGGCCACCGCGGCAGCACCCGGGTCACTGGAGTAGAGTGGGCTACGGCAGCAGCACCCGGGTCACTGGAGTAGAGTGGGCTACGGCAGCAGCACCCGGGTCACTGGAGTAGAGTGGGCCACCGCGGCAGCACCCGGGTCACTGGAGTAGAGTGGGCTACGGCAGCAGCACCCGGGTCACTGGAGTAGAGTGGGCTACGGCAGCAGCACCCGGGTCACTGGAGTAGAGTGGGCTACGGCAGCAGCACCCGGGTCACTGGAGTAGAGTGGGCTACGGCAGCAGCACTGGAGAGGTCCGCTGCTCTATACATCTCGAGTATTTGCTTGTATCCAGAATGCTTCACGGCGACGCCTCATGAGTGTCTGTACGGTATTTGCGTTGTATGTTGAACGGGGCACCTATACTAGATGGAGGGCTCTTGCCGATAACATCCGGTAATCCGGCAGTATATGTTTAGCAATTGTATATAATTATATACATTCAATGTCTATGGTGATGGAACCCGGCAAGGTCGGAACCGGTCCACAATTTGTTTTGCATAAACAAATGCAGCTTGATAATATTGGTCTGGAGAACTAAAAGGACTGAAACATATTTGTATGGATATGTTGAGGCGTATAATTGAGTTATGTTTATATATGTTCTGCGACACGGCAGCGCTTAGGAAGTGACGGTTGGTGAATCGCCCTAAGATTTGTGAAACTCCGAAGCCCTCTGGGTTAAAGATGCGGCGAGGTGCGAGGCTGATTTGTACTTCAAAGGGAAATCCAAGAAAAGGCAACGCTAGCACCACGGAAAGTGGAACAGCCGCTTCGTGCCGAGTAGACCATCACGCCGTCCCTACCGGGGCTGAATTTGCTGCTGCGGAACGTCAGACAGGCAGACAGACTGGCGGAGACTCCTTTTCTTCCTGCGTCTTGGGAGCGAGTGGCGGCTGTGATCGCCCCGCGTTCGGTTCGCAACGATCAATCCTCGTCCAAACCCCTGAGGAGTCGATTCAATGTCACAACAACGGGGTCGAGATGCCGATGCAATCAGCATTTTCTTCTCGTTTTTACCGTCTCCTTCGTGGTGTTCTTTTTTAAATCCTTTATATTAAGTTCACTTGATTGCTTGCGCGCTTGCTTGCGCGCTTACGACCGTGCAAATCTTTCGGTCGTTTTTAACCCACTTCCCGTGATCCAATCGAGCTGACATTTTGCACACAGACTCGTTGTGCGTGACAATTTATTTTCGTGAAATTTTTTCCCCAAAATTTTCCACTTTTTAGGAACAAAAAAAGTCATATTTAATTTAAAATACCAATGTGATAAAAATGAAACTCTTACTCAAGAAAAACAGAAATGAATAATAAAATAAAACCGATGCCACGCATATAAAGGATTTATAGTGAAAAACTTTGTTTTTACGGGTTAATTTTTTTTACAAATGTTTTACGTCTCGTTTTGTGGAGCGTTGCGCTGTCTCACGCGCACGACGATGATGGTGCAGTTTATCGTGAGCGTCAGGTTCATTTTATTTGGTGAAGTAATCGATGCATCGTAAGTTGCTGAGTGTTGATGTTAGCGTTTATTTTGACGGCCCTAACGTCAGACGTGTGTAGGGGGGGAGGGGGGTTCATGTCACTATTCAGAGATGAACACACTGCCTTGCACTCGCAAGGCAGTGTGTTCCAAACGCCCAGTGCTGTTTTGGTGAAATAACTACCTCGCCTGGTATACAGGAGGTTGTGGGTTCGATCCCGACCCTGACGTCTGCTGTATATTTGGAGTTTGCGTGTCTCTTTCCTCGTGGTCGTGTGGATTTTTCTCCGGGTCCTCCGGTTTTTCTCTCCACATTTATAAACGTGCGTTTGGAACATTTGGCTGTTATAAACTTCCACGTGATAAGCCACTTCGTTTAGCTATCATTTGTGGCCAGGTCGCTTCTGAAAAAGAGCTATATAGCTCAGTGGGCTTTACCTGATAAAATAAAACATAGTTTTAGTTTATAGTTCTCACCTGGGAGCGGGTGCCTTCCCGTTGAGCGCTCTGCTGTATCTCCCCTCCATGACCCCGCACTCCTTGTCCTGTTCTCAAGGCCGTCCCTGCAACATGTAGGGTACAGAATCACGCGTTAGACCTTCGCCTGGGAAACCGTGAGGAGAGGGTCGAGATTGTAGAATTTTTGAACATTTTTATTTAGACAGCAGAAGGTACAAAAAGTCCACTGCATACCGGGTTCATTCCTACATCCAACCATTGTTTATTGCTGCCATTTTCGATTTAAAGCTTTCGTGACTGCAGGAATTCATCTTCTTGTTTCTTTCGTTAAAGTCACGTAGAAGGGAAGTAATAAAATAATAAAAATAAAACATAATAAAATATAATATTATATTATTAATACAAATTAAACATAATACAATATTATATTATTTTATTTTGTTTTATTTTTATTATTTTATTACTTCCCTTCTACGTGACTTTACCGAAAGAACGAAGAAGATATTGCTGCCATATTTGAGGATTAAAGTTGGCTGAGGCGGTCTGTTAAACAGGGGAGAACAGCAAGGAGACACTGGCCGAGTTAAAGAGATTTCACGGCAGAAAGAGCGGTGCCTTCACACTGTAGGGATGTTTCATTTGTAAGGGATGGACACGAGGGGTCAATGGCAGATGTGTAATCACAAAAAGAATATTTAGCGATGTAAGGAATTCTCAGGGTAGCCCTTGAGGGACTGGCAAGCTCTGTCAAACATCGTGAGTTGTAGGTGTGCGCAGAGGTGTGGCCGTTGTGATACGGGCGTGCTGTGGAGCGGTGTGAGAACACTCTGGAGAGGGGGCCGGACACCTCTACGCAGAGACGGCTGTGACGAACATCTTAACAGCAGATGTGTTTTAACTTAACAGAAAAGTTGTGCAACATTTTCTTGGTTCTTTCGGTAAAGTAACGTAGAAGGGAAATAATAAAATAATAAAAATAAAACATAATAAAATCATTGTCACGACGTTTCGGCCACAACGCAAGCAGCCGTCCTCATGTGAAGAACATGTCTGTCGGGAAGACAGCGTGACTTTACCGAAAGAACCAAGAAGATGAATCCCTACAGTCACGAAAGCTTTAAATCGAAATTTGTGCAACAATGCCATTGTTAATAACGTTAAAATTTAATGTGTCCCCCCCCCCCCCTCCGTCGTTGCGGAGATCATAGTTTTGCGTGGTATGCTGACGCTTAACACGTGGCAGAGTAAAAGTGAGAGCTCGCGTTCATTCGTCACTTGAGCTCCCATCATGGACCAACTCACTCATTCACGGACCATATCAAGAAGCGCAGTCACAGAGTGCGTACCACGAGAGAGGGCCATCTCGTCCCCAGTTTCGCCCGGCCGCCGTGAGGCTATATCCAGCGGTCCCATCCAGACGCGCGTCGGCCTCGGAGTGCGCCCGGGGGGGGGGCTCTCGCTTCTCGTCTCGTCTCCTTTGGTCTCCTCTGCATCTCTCGCTTCTCTAAGACGCCGAGTGTCCATCCTCTCTCTCTCGTGTTGCTATTGCGTTGTTTCTGTCAATCTGTCAGTGTGTGCCTCTGTCTGGCTGTGTCCGGCTCTGTCTGTCTGGCTCTGAGACAGTCTAAAAAAAAGTGGAGCGTGTTGATTGAGAGCAAAGAAAATGAGCAACGCGTTTCAACACGTGCTTGTCTTCGGAATTATTTAATTAGTAGTTTTGGAAGCCGACTGGTAGCTGTCAAGGCAAATCGCACTTTGCGTTATTGCAAATGCAAGTACAGCATTTCATTTCGCTCTGGTGGTTGTCTCCAAGTATTGTTCAACCCTTTGATCAATGTCACGGTAAGTCCCTAATAGCAGCGCGACTTTATACAGCGGGTTAGTTTATATTGGATCGCCTTTACGAGAGTTATGGTTGGAAACCCTTAACAATTACAACGGATTAAGCATTCGCGCAGTCAGACCATGGCGATCGTCCTCCTTCATGGACTCTAGAAAGGGTCATTATATATTTTCAAGCGGTGTTAACGACAAGTGTGGTGAGTTTTTTTTAGTATGAGTGATTGTATATCGCTCGCCAATGTAGTTCCTTTTATATATATGCAATCGTCTTCGTTAAGAGTTCACGCGCAGATAGATAGGGCACAACGGTGACCCTCCGAATGAGAGCCAGAGCACGTGGACGGGACTGGGGTCGAGACGAGTGTCAGCCATCCTGAGTCAACCTTGTGTGCGCATTCCTCATAGCGAGTCATCCATCCACTGCTGGATGAATCCGGACCCCCTCCCGTTACGCCGTCGCCATCTCTCACGTTCCTGCGATGCCACAACCAATCACACTCCTGCACACGTGAGCTGATCTCATTGCTCCGTCTCCGAAGTGGGCATCCTTTCTGGCGTATTTTCTTCTTCGGCTTGTCGTCCCATCGTCAGTGTTACCCATCGGTTATCATCCCTTCGAATCCATGACGCTTCTGAACTCAAGTCCACTTATGTTTCTTAACAGTACAGGATTGGCGTTTGCGCCCTATTTCATGCATTCGTTCGTCTGTCTGTCATTTGCAGAAATGCGTGCGTTGAGTGGATGTGTGTCCTGTTATAAATTCACACTGCAGAGCAATTCGGCAGTGCTTGGGTAGGTCTCGTCGTACGTTTAACTTATCTCGCACCGTACGCAGCTCACCGTGCTAATCGGAAGTGTCAATGTGCTTGACTTGCCTAAATCTGGATTAACAGGGCGCTTTAAATCCTTCATTACAACCGTGATACTCTCATACCAACTTACCCGCACCTGTATAGTCTTCGGGAAAGCACTGACCAAAAGATTCCGTACATGACAAGCTGCTACGGTTATGTCTAGCTCTGTTTCAAGCCACTGCTGGATAAGGGCTTCCCCACGCCGTGTGGGTCATTGGACCAAACACACTGGTCAGTGTTGGTTGGTAAAGATGGAGAGCGTAGACGTGGTAACATAGAAGTACGTACAGTACAACTATGTTTTTTTCAGCACTGCCCATCACGCAACTCGGAAACCGGTAACACCTGTTATGCACGGTGGTCGCCCATCCAGACACTATCCGCGCTCATCCCGGCTTAGCTTCCGGGATCGGACGACATCAGAGGCGCATTCTGGGCCATTTGGTTCGAGGCCACAATGGGAATGATGTCGTGAACGTCACCGCGCTGTTGAACACTTCACACAAATCTAAATACGTAGCCCTATATGAGAGCAGGTGCTATTGTGAAATAATAGACGCAACGCATTAAAAGCATGGTCAGCCAAACAAACGTTTGGGGTTGGTTGCTCTACGCATTCAGATTCACGCACGCGCAGTCGTTACTTAGGATTACAATCTTGAAGGATTCCCAATTTTCAAGATACTCAAGGACAATGTCATTGAGCCGCTATCACCGCGATCCGCTTTGTGTTTCCTTGTCAGCCAGATGTATCTTCAAAAGGATGCTTCGGTCTCAATTGGCATTCGCCTGGTTCAAATGAAGGGTAACTTTCTGGCAATATAATTACATTAGTTTGACAACTTTCGTTTCTATCCACTTCTGGATGAAGGCTTCCCCCACACCGTGCCGGTTATGGCGTAGTTGTTTCAACATACCGTAACTCACAATTCTGGTTCGTTCAGTTTGGGGAAGGCAGCTCTCAGCACCGGTTCAGATATCACTCGGCAATGATGTAAGCCGTGGCCAGGAATCGAACTCAGGTTTGCCGGTTGCCTATTGCAATGAGCTAATCACTGCGCCACCGCTCCACCAGGTCTCTAATGATACCAACAACAACAGCCACAATAAATCGTTTCTATTATTATTACGCTGAACTCTCCCAGAGTGTTATATTCACACGGCTCGCGTCGTTTGTCGGGTGCTGGAAAACTACAGTACTCGGGATTCCCAAGGACATAAATAATGAAACGAATCACAACACAGTCACGTGTTCACGATTGAAAGTTGCCGACGAGAGGTTGCAATCGAGGATCCACTGCGACTTTTGAAATGACCACTGGCGACGCAGAGTCGAGACTGGTGCACGACTGACGTATTATGCAAACTGCAATCAGGTGCGAAGACGGAAGAGGGTGATGAGTTTCCAGGATTTCGCGGTTGTCTGCGGGGTGTGAATGAGGAGGGGTGACGAGTTCGAGTGATGAGCCTCAGCACAGAGCGTGAGGCAGGGTGAGGGCTGGGGGTGTTGCGCGTCAAGGTCGACAAGGGAAGACGACTCGCACGCCGAGACGAAAGTGAAGATGGGCGAGAGAATGAATGACGATCATTCCGAAGATCACTGAAATAGCTTTAGAAGCGGCAAAGACAGGCGGCAGAGCGACTATGGGATCAAAAGGCAAGGCAGAAGGACATGGTTGATTCGTAAATCAAGAACTTAGTAGGCACTGATGATGTCTTAACAATTTATCGGGCATTTAAAGTAACATTTCAGTTAGTTTTCACATTGACGATGTGCTCGTATTAGTCGAGCGTGATATGAGCACGGTTAACGCTGGCTCAGTGATGATGACGATGACGATGGCCATGATGATGCACCGAGTGACTGCAGGAGCCCCCGGTAGAAGACTCTTGAGGGCGTCATGTGGACGTGCCCTGAGTGTGGCCCCAGGAGCAATCACGCGGGGGCTCACGGTGCCGGGACGGAACGCGGCTCTCCGGGAGTCGGGGGAGGCTGGTGGGTGAAGAGCGGCTATTGAGCGTCGGACTCTGCTCTCTCGGGCTGAGCAAAGAGGCTGCCGGTCCGTGCGGACACAGCGCAAGGCAAATCACAGCGCGTCAAAGAGAGTCCAGTCAAAGGGTGCTTTCCTCGCGAAAATGTGCCCGGAGATGAAGCGCTGATCTCCTTGTGTTACGACTTTTTATACGGGGTGATGGCAATTCCACATTTATATGGTGGGGACGAATAATTCCACGGGGGGGAAAAAACGCCGTTGACTTCCCACAAGGTGGTACTTATTTTACAGACCCTGAAAGAACCAACGACGAAGTTTCAGACTCCCGACCGGAATTGAACTCGCAGCTTTCCCACTGCAAATCGCACGCGTTCTGAGTAAGCGCTCCGTCACCCGACACATCTGTATATGACGATGATGATAATAATAATGACAACGAAATAAATGCAAAAAATGTACAGCACTCAGTCAAACCACTGCTGGCGGATGAAGGCCTCGCTACGCCGTGTCTGTTGTGGCCAGTTCTTTGGTGGGTGCAACCGAAGACGGCTCCAGCGATGACTCGCTGTTAATGTTAGCCGTGTCCCACTGCGCTCTCGCTCCATTACCCAAAATAAACAAACCCCACAACATTAATACTACTATCGATTTGAAAAGCGTTTTAGCTACACTCGCATTTTATTCTAGGTGTGTAAAGTAACAATGTAAAACAACAACCGCGCGCACACTCACGCGCCGTGCCACTCACGTGTTCAACTCGGCCGTTAGAAGACGCATTGGAGATTCCTCGCGAGCGGCGGCCGAATTTGGTGGGGAATCGCAGAGAAATCGAGCTGACCTCACGCGAGTGAGTTCACCACGTCCGTCCGCCGCTCTTGGATCACAGCAGCCCTCGGCCAAGAGGGTTCACGCGAGGAGAATCCGTGGCGTGCTCGCTTGTGAACACCCCTCGCCGGTGGTGCCACCACGCACGCCGCGCGCACGCACAACAATATCCTCCAGACCTCCTCCACCACCACCACTCACCCACCCACCAACCACCTCCTCTGGGGTAAGCGAACGCGACCACATGGCGGCCGGGAGTAGGATGTTGCAGCGCTATCTTTAGCGCACCGCGAATAGCTCTCTTGCGTGAGCGACACACGGCGAGGTACAGTGCTCCGGCAGGGATGGTGTGCGCGCTGTGGCAAGGAGCCGCGCTCTCAGCCCAGTTTCCTACAGATTATCGGTGGGATTGCGTTTGCGGCCAATGACCACGTCATCGGGAATGTGCCCGATCTCGTCACATTTCACGAAGCGAAGCGCAGGAGTTGAGCCCGGGTAGCGCTTCGACGAGCCAGCAATCACTGTGCACAACACGGATTGCTATAGACTGCAGCAGGGCTATGTGGTAGGCAGCAGAGGGCTGTGCAGCAACATTCGCTTTGTTGTGCTGTACTTCCATGCTCCCGCGTCTGTGTCTCCCACCTTCACTAAACCGCGCAGACCAGCGCGGTGATGTATCGTCAAATGAACCCCTGCGACCCGCACTGCGTGGGGGGACCCTCACACAGCAGCGGATTGACAAACGGGCTACGTGTGCATTGTTTCAAAAATCACGGATCGTTCTGGCCTGGTGACGCACGGCTTTGATTCAGTACTTTGGAGGCGAGGGTTGGTGGATTCGTGAACCGGTCGGAAGGACATTTGAGTGTTATCTCCTCGTATGCGTGACGGATTTGTTTTCCTAGCACCACGATTTTCTCCCACACGAAACTAAATGATTCTTTAAAAAAAAAAGCATCCGAATGCAGGACCCTCCTGAAAATAGTCTCAGGCCTAATCGAAGCTTTTCTGACAACATACGCTGGCTTGGAGGAGGCCCTCAAGCCAGCGGTGGATTGACCATGGCTGATGATGATTATGATGATGCTGCTGCAGCAATGCACGAACACGTGGAGACGTTCTTCTCTTTATTTCAATCATCGGAGTGATGACAGTTATCACATAGCTGCGCGTGAATTCCAAACGAACGGACACCATCAAACACAATTCGCCATGTCGAGAGAGACGGCGCCTTGCCGGTTTGTGCCCCCGGGGAATTGAATTCGTAAACTCTATAGCCGATGTCACCAGAGCTGCACAACCGAGTGCGCCTCAAAGTCACTTTGAGTCTTGTTTTGTCAAGAACGAAGTTCCAAACTTGTTTAGCGCAGAGCCGAATAACGCGAAACATCTGCCAGGCACTAACTCGGAACCGTTATAAATTCAACTTAGCGTGTGTATTTTTGCGCGAAAATTCCGCGCTACATACACGTAGCTGCAACCGTTGTTTGTTTTTTGTATTCTATGCTCTGTGAAACAATGTACGCAATTAGACATGTTATATATGGGTGAGAATGCATTACTGGCTGCTAGTGTATATATATAACTGTAAGTCCTACACTGATGTATCACTTTTTAAATGCAGCTCTCTGTGTCGCTCCACTGCTGGACGAAGGCCTCCCTCCACACCTCCGATTAACACGCTTGGCTGTCTACGGTGCGAAAGGAGTTCCACAGACACATATGCCGTACCCGTCATGGGGTTGTTGACCATATTTCCCCACGCTGGTCAGTGCGAGTTGGAAAAGGAAGGGTAGTGAACGATGGAGTTTCTGGATATCCAGAAATGGTTGGTTCAGAAATCACTCACCATTAACGTTTGCCTTGGATAGGAATATAACTAGGTGCGCCGGGTTCCTAGCGCAGTGCGCTAACCGCTGCTCCACCCCTGTGTGTCACTGACAGAGCCTCAATCCTACAGGATTCCTGTCTCTGCTAACGAGGCTCATGCTCACACGATCGGAACCACACTCCTTCCCCGAACTGTGTGCAGTGAATGAACGGGTGATGACATATAGCTCGGCAGTAAATATGAATATTGTTTTTCCACGCATGCCCCGTTGAGCCTCAATACTGTCAGGAGTCTTTTGCATTGCGATGTTTGACCAATTCACATTTAAATCTTGAATACAATGTTATTTATCCACAGGAAATCACTAATAAATCTCAAGACTTTGTCAGGTTCATGCTGCATTGGGATGCTTGGCCAAGTCCTTTGAAAAAAATGTTTTGCTACGAGTGGGAGGAGACCGGAGTTTGATTTGCATCCCTTAAAAAAATCCACTGCTGGATGACGCGCCCTGTCAGCCATGGGGGCGGGGGGGGGGACCGCACGAGCCGGAGAAAACCTACGACGCGTACGAGGGGATAACACTCAACGCTTGTGATGTTGTCGTACTGTCATCTCGTAGCTACCTCGCAGCCAGTGTGCGCTTGGGAGTTTCATACATCTCTGCGCGATCCACCAGCCTTTGGCAACAGGGCACCACGCTCCCGGCAACTGCGCTATGAACCCGGCCACCTGAGTTCAACTACCGGCCACGGTTAAATGTCAGTGGAGGAGTGATATCTGAACCGGCCTTGCCGCCACCCCCCCTCCCTCACCCCTTCACCCACCACTCATCAACTCGCACTGCCCGGCGTGGCTAAGTGTGGTCAAACGCGCCATGTCATTGACACGGGGTGGGGAGGCCTTTGTGTGTGTTGGACTTCTTTCGCACCGTACGTAGCCAACCGTGATAATGGGAGGTGCGGGGAAGGGTAACAAACTAAACACAACAATTTATTCTAAAGAAATGTGTTTTGGAACCTAGATGTAAAAGTGTACAGATGGCCGCAGAAGCGCATCTGAAAGCGCGTGATGCAGTGACCGTCTTTATTCGGTGGTTAGCTAAAAGCCGCTGCGAGGATGACCGGAGTTCACGTCATGATGTATGTTCCTTGACGAGGTCAGCAACGTATTGTGGTTCACTTGTGGCAAGTACTTTAGATAAGCAAAAGGCTGTGTATGGAGACAAATTAAGTAACCCAGTCGTTGTACGTACGCGTTTGAATATCTTTTCGGGTGAAGACGTCAGACCGTATGGCATCGAATTTCCTGGCTTCCATGCTCTTGTAGCTGGGTACGTCACGTTACGATTGCAAAATGCAGGCCTCGTTACTGGCAATGGTCGTGGATTCAACTCTTGCCCCCCCCCACCCCCCACTTCAACCCAGCGCTCAATTCGTTTCTGCCAGTACAACTATATGTTACACGTTGTCATGCTGAAAAGCGATTAGCCGGTAACACACACTGTTGGCACCGAATGTGTTAAATCGCAAAACCCAACTTGTAACAGGTGCTGGCCACGCAGCACAAAGCTCATTCCACTGACGATTCCAAGGACGAGGCTCAGTGGACGGTGCCATCGCGAAATGAAGACTTTGTTGTAGTGATTTCAAGTGTTAAATACATGTGGAATATAGAGAGATAATCTCAAGATCTGGATGTAATATATCCCAAGAAGAGACTTGTTGAACAAAAAGTATTGAGACTTGCTGTCATAATTCATGGGTGAATATATAAGTATAGCTTTGTAAAATACTACTTGAGTCTCTGTAATGTGTTTCTAATGCCTGTGTTTTAGATGACATTACACATTTATTCTTATATATTTTATTCCTAATTTCACGTCTGATAAATAGTGTTTCATCTGCGTTGCTTCTTCTGCTCAGATGTACTTAGCTGTTTTTGTTGTTATGATAAGTTTCCTTTCATTATTGTTTTAAGATGTTGTTTTCCTCCCAGGTCTCCCTTGATTGAGCCTTTCAGGCTGAATGTAAGACTCATTATTTGAAGGTTACGTTTGTAGTTTTGTAACTATATAGGTTAATAAAATATACCCCCCCTCTCCTAATTTATCTCGACATAAAAGTTTTACAAATTTCAGTCCATCAGACATTTGGCTTTCACAAATCTACATCAATTGTTCAAATCCAAAAAATTCTGGACCGATTTCGATCTTCATGTATAATTGGTTATTAATTTTGCTAGTTCAACCCATAATACTCAACCACAACGCAAATATATATTTTTTTTTCAAAACTAGACTAAAACCTTGATTTGAAGCTTTCGTGACTGCAGGAATCCACACTCTCTGGTTCTTTCGATAAAGTCATGTAGTTAGAAAAAATAATAAAAGAAAACACGACGTTTCGGGCGCAACACAAGCGTCCGTCTTCAGGTGAGAAAAATGATCTGCTGTTGTGGCTTCATATAGGCACGGGAGGGGGGGGGGGGTATCGAGTCGTGGCTGTAGGAGTTCACGAGGGGAGAGGGGGGGAGGGTTTGTGGCGTGCAGGGACGGGTGGGGGGGCTGGCACAGGGGGGAGAGGGGGAACCAGAGAGTATAGAATAAAACCATTGAACAGATTCACTCTTTGAAGTCACAAATAGTTGCTTGTGCTCTGCTGCTGTGCGTGTGCCGTGTCCCTCTGTGTGATTGCGGTTCTATAACTGTCGCCGTGTTTGTGTGCGTATTCATGTGTGATTGTGTAGTTGCGTTGGCTGTGTGGTTGTGGTTGCGAGGCCAGTCCGCAGAGCATCTCCGCGTGATTTATGATGCCACTGGCAGCAGCAGCAGCAGCCACGCACGACTCACGTCAGAGTCGGCTGAGGGCTAAGAATATCCTGCCCTGGCTTAATTGTAGCAAGCTCTGCCTGGAGCTTTCCATGACAGCATCACTGAATGTAAACAGCTCCTGGCAGCCGAGTCTAATCGTAGTTACACGTGTTGTACACCTAGTTAGCCCTTTTGTCCATCTATTGCGAGACGAGGGCCTGACCAAAGCTCGAACGAGTCGCGGAAGGTTATTTTGACTAAACTTCACCATCGCCGGTCAGTCGTGCTTGCTGCAGCTGAAGGCGGGGAGCGAAGCAGTGGGTTACACAACTGGACATTGCAGCGCTGCCCTCTACTGCCCAGTACGTCGCTCCGCAGCCGCCGATGGCAACCTGTGTGTGTGGCATGCTGGGTGAGCATCCATCCGTCCACCAGCTAGGCTCAGCCGTGCTTAGCTTCCATGAGTTTGCGAGTCTCTCTCACCGTGGTGGCGTGGATTTTTTCCGGGTCCTCCGGTATTTCTCACCGCGTTTAGAAACGTGCGTTTGGAGTATTTAGCTGCTATAT